AGGCTGCTTCTCACGGATGCACAACACACAACAGGGAGAAAATGGTCCTTCTCACAGGTACTGTTGAGTCCTCTGCCTAAAATGTTTGTCTGGGCACCAAACTGACACCAAAGAGAAGGGAGTATGAGGTAAACTTTTGGGGACATGATGAAAGACCTCAAAACCCACAAAGATATGGGCTCCCAGAGAAGGATGGATTCTCAGGGTGTGGGATGGATTTCAGTTTTGGGATATAAGTAGGTTTTTAGGTCTTCTTCTAAATCACTTGCATACAAAGTTAAAGCAGGCCTGAAAAATGGAAACTGGAATCAGGTTTTAGCTTCATAATTTACCGTTTTCTTCCTTTCATTCCTCTCTGTGGGGATGTTTGTTGAGGTGTTAAACTTTCTCTTTCTGAGGACATGAATTTGGAGGAAGAGCCAAGGGCACTGCAGATTGATTTTCTGAGTTTTGCTCAGACTGCATAATACAAGTGTCAATTCAGTAGGATAAGCTCATTCCTTTTTTCACTTTTATGGATTTCATTAAGAAGCATGAACAGGCAAGAATCCCTCTAAGCAATCATATTACCAGCCTAATTTGCTAGACTTTCATTAGAACAATTAAAGACAAAATGATGCAATGACCCAGTTCAGGACCCAATTAAGACTGAATCAATAAATCAGTAGGTCTAAATCACCACCATAAGGCCATAGACAATCAAAACAAGTCATGAGGCTGAAGCTAAACAGAATTACTGTATTACACTGCCACAGGAGAATTTAAAGAATGAAGTATTTTCCAGTTGAGGTGTCCAGCTCATCTTACTACAACCAGGTCACAGCCTGCTGGGGACCATTGCCTGGGTGCACAGCAAAACAGCCCTCCTGGGCCATCCAGGAGCTGTAGGTAGCCCTGGGCATGGTGGCTTCCAGGTAGAGGTGTCAGGACCCCGCCCATCTGTCCAGCCACACTTGGAGCTAAACATCTCATCTGTCTCTCACCAGCTTCTCTGCACAGATAATTAAAGCCCCCATGTGTCCTGCTAACAAGCCCTTCTTAACAACAGTTGTTGGCTGTTTCCTGAAGGTCTTTGTTTTCCTTCCAGAGGAATTGATGAACAATCGGTTCTGTCCATGGATTTATCGTGAACCATTGGTAAACTCATGCCTGTGGTGGCTGCTGCATAATATGACTGTTCTACCCCAAATGATCATCTGTCCAGCATCATGGCAGGTTGTCCTTCAGGAAAGCATTTAGACTACCAACCACATGAATACATTTTTTCAGAGATGCTCATCATCTTCATGGACAAAAAAGAACCAAAACAGAGCACAAAGGCTGAAAAAACCCCACTGAAATCGTCTTTTGTTTCTTGGGATGTTTAACTAACTTTACATTATCTGGACTCATTAGTGAAGGCTTGGTAAGTGCTGAAGTCTGTTGTCTTGGACTGCTGAAGCCCATGACCAGAGAGGTTGTGGTGTCTCCATCACTGGAGATATTCAAAAGCTGCCTGGACCTGGCTCAGGAACACCTGCTCTAGGCAACCCTCCTTGTTGAGCAGGTGATCTCCAAGAGGTCCCTACCAACCTCAACCATGCTGTGGTTCTGTCTTGAGATCCCTGAAAAACACCTGAGAAATGAACACAGAAGTACTACAAATACTTAGGGAGTGAAGAGGGGCCTCCAAGGTGATTGCCAGTGGACTCAGCAATGAACTTGTTGATGTCTAGTGACAGTAAAGTTAAACACTGTCTTCAGAACTCAGCCCTAGCCTGAACATAGCTGAATTCACTCTCTAGATATTGTGACCAAAAAGTAATACATGAAAAAATCCTATCATTTGAGTACTGCAAAGGCATAGCAGCCTAGTCCCAAACCTTTCATTTATGTCATGTTCCCCTCTGCTTTGGTCTGACGGGCACACTGAAATAATATCATATGGTATAATATAGATGATATAAAATTGCATTGTGTTGTATTGTATACAGATCCAAGTGTGTGTCCCTGCTGAGAACAGGAGTTCATCCATCCACTCCCACTGAAGGTCAGTATGGGCTCACCGTGGCTAATAACTTTGGTGGCACAGCTTCTCCCTGGAACAGGGATCTGATCCACTGGGATCTGATGCTGTGCTGAGCTGCGGTGGATCAGAGACTGGGAGGAAAAGTTACATTTCAGATGCTACTTTGAGCAAATGCAAACTTGAAGATGTGAAAAGTGATTCTTTAGTATGGAGGTTACCTGCCCAGCTGGCCTCCAACAAAAAGAAGTATTAGCTTGAGACTTATTGTGCATTCATGGTCACTGTTAGACTGCAAGCTGAGGATGTGAACACAGCTCTTGCTTCTGCCCTAAAGAAAGAAAATGAAAAACATACAAGAGCCTATATGGCGCCAAAGAAAGCACAAAGTTCGTGAGTTTGATGGGAACAACTATTGCCTCTCAGCTCTATTATTATTAATTTCCCTAAACAAAGCACTTCTATGAAGATGGTAAATGAATCATTAATTGACCGTAACTTTATCAGAATATTGCAATTATGAAAAGGAAAACCCCAAAGATTAAAAAGGAAAAGAAACTTCTGAATTTAGGATAAGCAAACAAAGTTTGAAAGTCAGGAATTTATCCCAGTGTAATCCAGAAAGCCCAAACGCCAAACAATCTGGAAATACTCAATTGAATACTTGCAGTGCTGATCCAGATGGTCCTTCTTCCCAACCCCCACAGCTATACAAAATGGTTGTCATCACAGTAATTCAGTGTGGTTGAGAGGCCACACCAACACAAGGACTCAGATGTGTTGGGCAGGGCACATACCCACAGGGATGTAGGTGGACTCTCAGGGATGTCCAGAGCCAGGAGGAAGCATAATATGGTTGGAACAGCATGTCCCCTTATCCCTATGACAGCAATCCTAGTGTCCTAGGATTGCTTTTGGGCAGCACAGGCCCGTGTTGCCTCCTCATGGAAAAAGATCATCACAAGACCAATATTATTTTGTGGATGCCCACTCAAACTGGGAGGTAGGTTTGGCCTGAAGGAAGAAATTCAGTGTAGGCATAAGCAGAGAAGGTAGGACTGTCTACACTGCACAAGTGCTGTGGTTGAAAGCCCTGTGTAGAATGTCTCCTCCTCAGCATCACCTGAATGTGGAGGCCTGGAACCACAGGGGTTTATCCCTGCTCAGGTTGGATGGTCTTCAAACTTGGGCACCTGCATATCCTCTGCTTCACCAGGTATCACTGCTGTGCAGAACTCTGGGCCTGCAAAAGGAGCTGCACACAGCCCACTGGAGCCCTGGTTCTGCCAAGGGACAGTGCTGGAGAGCAAAGGAGCTGAGAAATGGGCTTGGTATAGCCTGAAGAAAGGCTGATGTGTGGAGTAAGTGCATACCAGCACTCTGAAAGCCTCCAAAATAAGGATGGTCCCCTTCCCTCCAGTGCAAACATGGCTGTGGATTTTGGCAAGGTTGCAAGCAAAACATTTTCTGCAGCCGCATCTTGGTCTTGTCCCTCTGGCTTCTCTGTACTGATGTTTTATCTTATTTGCTACAAACAGCCAAGAATTTGTGGCTGAGCACATAGCAGTGAAGAAAACATACAAAGATCAAGTAAATACTGACATGACATCATCAGGATGTCATGTATCAGGATTTCAGTGGTCCTGAGGTGATCTTCCACCCTGTCTCACTGGGAGCCAGGAAGAGCTCAGTGCACACTGAGTGACCACTGAGCCTACAACAGAGGGACTTGTGATTTTAAAACCAAGACATGAGAGGAAGGTTTTCCTGGCTGAGATTGTAATTTCATTGTTAAATGTGGGCTAGATCTCTTTCTACTGTAAGTCTGCAGAATTTGAGCCAAACCCAGAGAGCTAACTTACACGCAGGTGGGATTGTGGTCCTTAGTACGAAGGGATGATCAGAGTTCAGGCTTGTGTTTTGTGGGAAGACTGTGCAGTCTTCCTACAGGATCTACTGCTCCTCCTGACACTGCAAATCGTGTGCCTGTGCCTCAGTATCACACACCACCTCCAACACATTCCCAGCCAGCATTTTTGCACATGGATGTACTTTTCCAAAGATGTACCTTGCCATAGATGTGTTTTTCCAGAGCACAAACTGGAGGCGATTTCATCTGTCCTGGTACAGCCCACTATCAAATCCTAATTCTGTAGCCATAGTTGCATACCTCAGCTTTCAGAGAGTTATCAGGTTGGTTGTGGGGTTGTTTCTTCATTCATAATATGAAAGCTTTATAAGTTAATTTGTGTTTCTCTTCACATTGCCACAAGTTGGTCATTGTCATTGCTGTTTGTTTCAGCTCTGCTACTGAACCAGATGCCTAAAACCACCTGTCTCTGACCTCAAGCACTGGCCCACCTCCCTGCTTGGCACGTTGGTTTTGCCACCTATTTTAAGGGGGGGAGGAATTCTTGTGTGCCAGTGAGTGAAAAACAGAAAAGCAGAAATAACAGTGGAGAAAATTAAGAATAAATTAAGAATAAAAAGAAAGTCATAACAACCTCAGGAACACAATCTGGAAAAAAATTAAGCCAATGACAAAGCAGATACAACAACCTACAGAGACCATTGCTGGCTGCGAAGGGAGTCAGAAACATTAGAGAGAATCCTGTCTCCTCTGGTGATTCCCATCACAGGGTGTGTAAGTCACCAGAACAGATCAAAGGTACAGCAGTCTCCAACAGCTACACACTCTTTCCCCACAGATATTCCCAGTGCCCAGGAGACAGCCATGTCTCTGTACATTGACATTCAACGTAATTTCCAGTGACAGCTTTAGGAAACATCTGAAGGACGCCTCACCCTTTTTATCCATTTGCATATGGAGTGAATTGAGTGGGAAAGAAGTCTCACTATCCCCCTTTGGGTCATAAAGGAACATCATTGCATAAAGCACAACGGAGCAGTGAAGCAGTCATGGGAATGGTTCACTCCCTTTCTTGCATGTGGGTGGAGACTCAAGCACTCAGAAACATCAGACTTCACATCAGGGTGATTTAATTGGATTTATTGGAGGAAAACAATTAGTCATCCCTTTAAGTTGTCATTATGATAGAAATCTCGATATGTATACATGATTGTCAAGGCAGAGAACCACTTGCGATGTAGCCCCATTAACAATTTGCAGTACTACAAACTCATTACGCAGATAAAACTTTTGCGATGCCTTAATACATGCATGGAGTAAATACACATTCTCCCTTCTTTTTGGACATGGATGCTGTTATGAACTTGTATCAATCACAAGACCTGCAATATTAGGCACACTGACATTCCTTGATTAAGATTTAAGCCTTTGTAGAAAACATGCTTGCATTTTCATTAGAAGTCAACCGAGGGATGTTTTGCAGTTGGGTGTATTTGGGGAGTCACTATTCCTGGCAGACTAGGTTTTTTTTTATTGTTTGCTGACTCAAATAAAAGATCTAGCTTAAAAAAGGCCCAAACAGACCAAAATATTGTTTCTTAACTTGAGGCCAACCTACAGCAGGTCACTGATGTTGTGGTGACCAGAAACATGAGTCGCACCATTATCTCTGACTCAGCTGCAACCCTTCCACGCTGTTCACTTTGGGGATCATGCTACAGCTTGATCTAGTAAGACATAGCATGTGTGATGCCACGCTGGGCTCAGGGGATGCAAGATGGTAGATGGAAAAGCTCAGAGCTGCTCCGAGCAAACCCCCCTAGGAGCTCTCACCCATCACAGCACACAATCCATCTCCTCATGGAGCCTTGCACCAGGTGCTGCCTGCCCCAGCAATCTGAATTCAGGCTGAGTTACAACCATTATTAGTGATGTTTTTTTCGTGCTGCCATATAGTGCTTCAGCGATGGCACAGCATCTTAGCTAAGCACCAGCCTTAAGGTGGGCTCAAGACTTCTTGGTGCTTTTGGCCACCATGGAGCAGTCCCTTGCATAATTTCCAAGGACTATGCCACCCCCATGGTGCTTGCCCTCCAGCCCTGCTCCTTGGTATGCCCTTGCCAGGAACCCAGAGCAACTTCCCAGTCCTTTCAGATGGTTCAGCTTTGAGTGTTGGGAACTTGAGCATCTTCGACACAGCAGCCACTCAGGACCTGGGACCAATGCCCTGGTGATGCCCACAAGAGGTTTGGGCTGGAGCTAATATAAGCACCATGGAGCCATCCTGTACCCTGCCTTGGAAAGACCAGAACAAATGAAAATGGGTCAATGATTAAGGGAAGAGAAGGCAAGGGCATGGTTTCCACGTGGAAGAAGGCAAAGTACCACGCCAAACTCTTCCGTGGATAAATGGTGATACTATTTGGAGGTTCAAGGATTAAATGCTAGTATTTAGGTGGTGATGCTTTGGAAAGGATGGGATAGTTTAGCTCAGATCTCCGCCCTGTTTTGTGCAGGCAAAGAATCACAGCATCTTGGTCCCCAAAATGCAGTTCATTCTGCAAGAGGTGAGAAAAAATATCTTGTAGGAAGAGAAAAGTGCTAAGAATTGAGTGAACCAGTCTAAATTTTCACTAGGAAAAACAAACCAAAAGAAAAAAAGAAAAAACAAAGAGACACACCAACATGTTTCTTGGGCAGCCCTGGGTGTTGGTGACCCAGGGAAAGAATTTCTGATGCAGATCAAATTTGTAAGTGTTGTATTAAAAAAGGGGCTCTCACCTCCTCGACTCCCTGTTTCTAGACATGTGTATGTGACTGCTGCATAATTTTAAGCTGCTCTGGATGGTGACTCTTCCTTTACATGCTGCAGAGCATTCAACAGTAAGACAAAATACATTACCAGGCTTTGCAGTATCTTGTTTACAAAACATCAGCTTTTGCATTTACTCAAACTTAATGATGGATTTCGAGTTACAGATACACTGAGTCATTTAAAAGCAAAACATAGAAGTAAGCCCCTCAGAGAAAAGGTTGGGTTGAATGCGCATGAAGAAAAGTCTTGGGAAATACAGAAACAGTGAACAGCAGTTTAATACATGCAGTGCAGTATCATGCATTTATTGGACAGTTGATGTCATCATTATTTCAGCAGTGTTTTTTCACAACGCTTGCGAGCGTACATGCCCTGATTCCACTCTGGAGCATGGAAAAACTGTAAGAGCTGTTCTTCTGACCTTAGCATTTATGAAGAGGAGGAAAAAAAAAAAAAAAGCTACCTGGACAGGTAAGTGGCATGGATTTTGGCAGGGAAAGGGGGTCTTGAAAATCAGAGTCTGGGCTAAAAAGCCTCTGTTCTCTATTATGAGCACTATTTACACAGCTTTGACCCAACTGTGCAAAGTCAGACCAAAACACCTGAACCAGCTCGTGATCTCTCAGTGGTGGGACCTGTGACTCCCAGGGCCACAATGCACACACACACACACACACACACACACACACACACACACGTACACATGCACACACGTGTGTCACAGAGACCAGACCACCCCGGCAGACAGGATGGGCAGGCAGGACCCAGCTGCGGGGATTTGAGGGAAAACAAAAGGGACTGTGTAAACCTTGTTGCTGGGCATGAAATATGGGATGACTGATTTACCAGGGGAAACTCTGTTCATGCCGTGCTTGTGAGCAGGTTGCTGTTTCCTCACTCAGCCTTTGCTGACAGTGATTTGCCAACTAATCCTCCGCTCTCGGTCTTGATGCTGTTTTCCTTGGACACCGTAGTCTCCATGTGTGCTTCTGCTTTGTGCTTGGATGAGTGTAACTCTTAGCATCAAGTTTCTGGTGTAAATAAGCATGAAAACAAAGGCAAAACACCCTTCCCATGAATAATCTCTAATTTCTGGGATGCATTCAAGCCCCAGTTCAAAAAGGGTAAATACACATGGGATCAAGAATGCAAGTAATCCCGTCAAATGAGAATTTCCAGATGATGAATGGAAGCTGCTTCTGTACCTTGGGGCTCAGCCTAGAAACATTTTGCCAGTAGATGAATCTCCTGATTCTTTGGAAAGAGCAAAAGGAACAGGCTACAGCCTGCACGATCTTATTGGCAAAGTCAATCTGTTTTTATGTGGTGCTCATCCAGTGCTGCTCAGGGCTGGAGCTGTTATCACAGGATGAAGTAATAGCACAGGTTTCCCTAGAGCTGAACTAGTTAGTGCCAAGTTCACTTCAAAGAACAATATTCTCTCTGCTTGCCAGGGGCTGAAAGGTATCTGGCTTTCCCTGGGGGTTTGTTTCCCTAAAAATAGGAAGGGGACAGTCTCAGGGCCAGCTGCCACTGCATTTAATGGGCACCCTGGAGGCCCATGTTCTGATCTGCAGAGGGTTTGGGGAGAAAAGCCTGAAATCAGGGGTTACATTGGCTCCTGGGGCAGAAAAAAACCTTTGGACAAGACCCAAACTCCCTCAGGCCCAGGCAGGGGCCCAGAAGAAGGAGAACTGGTAATAGAAAAAATACTGTCAATAGCTGTGGAGGTACACAGGACACAAGCACAGTGGAAACCCCTATCCAATGCCTACTGCAGAACTACATGGAGATGTCTACCAGTGGGCTGACACCTCCTTTTGTGGTTTGATTCATATCAGGAACGAACCTCTACCATTGCTTGGCTTTATTTCGGCACCACAACCATAACAGACACACACAAGGCATAGGTAAAATCCTACTTTTTTTTTTTTTTTTCTTTTTTTTTTCTGTACCCACTACTCTAATGGCACCTGTACAACAGCAACCAGGACAGGAGAGACATCAGCAGCATAGTAACACAGTCTCAAGAAAGCAACACTGCCAGGTTTTCCTCATACTTTTACTTCCCCATTAGCCGTGCTGCAGGGCCAATATCCATTTCGTGCTGCAGAAGGGGTGATCCAGCAGAGAGTTAGGATGTACTGGGAATGAAGTCACATGCAAAATCAGCAGCAGAAGCCCCTGCCACTGCAATACTGACTTTCAGCTCGCAGAGTTCACGGGCAGCCTGTCCTCACAATTTCTTCTGCAGGCTAAGGGGCCAGCTGGAGCTTTTCTGGATTTTTTTTTGTTTTGTTTTCCCAGCAAGAGGACTGCTGTTGGCATCAGAGATGGCCTCTGTGACTCTGGAGGTAAAAATCAACAATCAAAGCTGCAAGCAAAGAAAAAGAAGGGGAAGGAGCTGAGGAAAACAAGTTACAAAGGAAAACCACGCAGGTACCAGTAAAGTCAAGCAGAAAAGGGTAACAGAGAGAGTCCAGGCTGAAGTCCTCATGCAAGCAGCAAATCACAGATTGTTTAGTAGGACGGTTCATTGGAAAAGAGCCCAGAGTGATTTTTCTACCTGCTCCTTCATGGCAAGGCCAGCTGGGGATTTGTTTTGACTCTTCTACTGTGGGGCTACCAGCCCTTTTTCCCCCCATGTAGACATTATTGACTCCATCTTTGCATTCCCCTGTGAGAGTGGCTGAGCAGAGGAGGACTGGGCCAGGGGAAGGACATGCAATGGCACTGGAGTATTGCTGGAAAGAAATGCTGGAGTGTTTGCCCTACCAGGATGTGCCTGCCAAGGGGCAAATGTCTCATCCCCCTCCAAAAATCTGGCCTGGGTGCTGCCAAGTCATCTCAGTTAACAGATTTACCCAGAAATAAATGGAGACGTTTTAACCAACTGATACTTCAGGAGAAATCTCTAAGCGTTCAGTGAATCCCAGTCAGGTCTCCAGCTGTATATGACTGATACAAAAGGAGAGCTTCCCACCACCAAAACTGTAGCAGATAGAAACAATTTTGCTTTTAAGGGCTTCTGTTTCTCGTCTTAAGATCCCAGCAGTTGATAGCAAGTCAAAGAGAATGATGATAAATTACACAACTAAGGCAGAATATTACTTGCAGAAACAAAACCAAATCACACTAATTCCAAATGTGGAAGGAAAGAATACCCCTCCCAAAGAAAAACCTACACAAAGCATCCAGCAAGGAGGGGCAGCCAGGGTATAGGAACCCCCCCATCTGCAGGACAGCATGTCTGCCTTTGCTCCTGTCACTGCTTTTTGCAGATGGAAATCTATTTGCTTTTCTTTTTCTTTCTGCAAGATACATTTGGATGCTGTATTTTCATCAGTGGCCACAGCAACTGTTGTGGTCAAGTTCAAACCAGACCTCAGGTTTCAGAAGAGAAGGTGCTGAGGGAATGCTTGAGCCCTAACCTTTAAAACTGCTGTACAAACACAAAATTATTCCCTAGGAAGTTGGATATTAGGAAAAGATTTCTTACAGAGAGCGTAATCAGACATTAGAATGGGTTGTCCAGGGAGGTGGTGGATTCATCATCCCTGGAGGTTTTTAAGATGAGACTGGATGTGGCACTTAGTGCCATGGTCTGGTAACCACAGCAGTGTTGGATCAAGGGTTGGACTTGATGATCTTGGAGGTCTTTTCCAACCCAGTTGATTCTATGATTCTGTGATTCTAACCAAATCCTGCTTTTGGTTGCATGCTTGTAAATGTGGGAAACTCCACTGATGCCAAACTGGGAGACTGTCTATTTATATCCCTGAAGCTGGAGCAGAATAGAATAGGACCAGCTGGGCTTGTGAAATCATGTGGGTTCAAAATATGTTGAATTTCTTGGGATTGGAGTCTCTTGAAACTAAAACTTTCTTAACCAGGCCGGCAAAATAAAGTAGCCTTAGAATGAGACATAAAGAGCTCCGATGTGAATGCTGATAAAAGTATATGGTGGCAATGACCAGGGGATGGGGACAGTAGTAAATTATGTGGGGTTTTGCTATGAAACCCCAAAAGTTCAGTATCTGATATCTTTCCTCTAATGAGAAATTGAAGTTGAAGCCTTTCTGTCTGAGCATCCATGCCAGCTGCAACATGATGGGGTGCACCAGTGGTCCCAGGGGCTCACTCAGATGTGCCACAGCCCCCTGAAAATGGGAATGCTGAGGAAACTGAGGATCTACCTGGTGCAACAGCTCTAAGTGCTATCAGAGGAGTGGCTGTTTCAAACAAAGTCAGTGCTCACTGACACAAGGTTTTCCAGCTTTTAGCACTCAAAGTACGATGGATGAAATCCTGGCTCTTCCAGCTGAAGCCAACTGACTGAAGATGAAGCAGGACTTTGAAGTCTCAACAAAAAATAATGTATCTTATGGCTTTTCCCAGCAGTCACTATTGCCTGATACATTCAGCTCTGACCTTGACCAGCTTTCACAGTTTCTGTGCAGGATAAATGATGCAAAGTGTGGCAATAGAGCACACTGTAGGGAATGGGTGGTGCCGCTGGGGGCATGGACCTGTCTGGGGTGCAAGATGTTCACAGCGCTCAGTGAAGGGTGCCTGCCTCTGTCATCTGCCTCTCTTCTCACCTCCTTAAAGGAAAACCACAGATGGGAATGGTGCTGAAGTAACCTGGAGCCCTTCAGCCCATCTGGGGAGATTTGCTCTCCTCTCTGTTTCAAACTGCTTTAATGCACGGTGATACAACAGTCCTGGTGGCTGCTCCTAAATGATGCACCTGGGAAGTGCATGCATTCAGTAATTAAAAATGGGTAAATTGAGCTTGTTGTGGTATATGAGCTTCTGGGGAGGAGGGGCAGCCAGTGTCACCCCACCTGTGCCTGTGTCCTACTTTCCCAGTTCAGCACTCCCTGTCAGCCCTGGGCCAGAGCTAAGCGTGATGGAGCCACACTGCCTCAGATCCTGAACTTTGCACCCAAGAACCTGCCAGTGCTTTACAGAGGGGTTCAAGCATCAGCCCTCCCCTCTGCCCAGGGTGCAAACCTGGCACACAGGGATTAAAGTCTGCACTTTTCTCTTTGGTTTCTGATATGCAGCTTTGGCCACTCTGGGAGGTGCTGAGCATCAGCAATGCCATGCAAAGCCCCGAGGAACTGTGGGTGCTCAGCACCTCTGCCATGGAACCCTTGGACTGGATGCACCCCATGCCTGAGGCCAGACTGGTGAATAAATTGTCATGCTCGAGGGCAGCACAGCAAGTCAGTGACAGAGGGTGATGACTCCCAGCCACGCATCTGCCTTTAACTTCCACTCTGCTCTTAACACAGCGGCTCAAAGGAGAGGAGCTGCAGGATGAGACCATGCTCTGCCATGTCCTTTGCTCAGCTCTGCTCAGCTCTGGCCTGACACCATGTACCTGCCTCTCTTCTGAAAAAGGGTGGAAAAAAAAAAAAGGGTGCTGATCCCAAGCACTACAAGAATGAGGCCAAGCATGAGTTGACTCCCATCTGATGGCAACCCAACTCTCACTGTGGCTTTGAAGGAGAAGGATGGGACAGAAAACAGCAGCTTCTTAATCTGAGCAGGAGGGAAAGCAGCAGTTTCTTAATCTGAGCAGTAACAGCTCTGCTAAAGCCAGACAGACTTGCAATCCAATTTCAGGAGTAAGAAATGGCATGCCATTGAAATCCTCCCATGTTGGAAAGTTAACGTTGATTCCTACCTACAGAAATAGCCTATCCCCCAGCAAACTGGACGGAGGGACATTACTGGAAGTAATTTTTAAAAGAAAAAAAATAATGCTCAGAAAAGTATCTCTATTTAAATAATCCAGTTGAGATGTTCGTAGTTAATGGAAAAAAATACAACATGTACTGTTACCTACACTGAGAAAAGAGTAAATCACTGGGGAAAAGAATGAGTGTTCATTAGTTAGAACATTGCTAGACTCACATACATATATATACTTATATATATATGTATATATGTACAGCACCAGAGACTGTTAGATCCGTTCCCCCTGGAGTCATTTGCAGTTTGTGATAAATGAAACATTTCAGAATTGCAGTATAAAATATGGCCATAAAAAAATCTTCTTTCTTCTAGTCCTTCTCTTGAGCGTGTGCCTCAGGGTGGAACAGCACCGGGGCCACCTGCCAGCCCGGCCTCCTGCCCGCTCCTCGCCGGCCCCGCTCTCACTTGCTCCCTGTGTGCACTGTGGTCACTGTGGTGGGTCTGGGTCTCCGGTCCCCTCCGACCGCAGAAACGCCTGAAGAAGCGGATGAAACAAAACTACAGAGAGTGGATGGAGACATACCTAAAAGGAAAGCCAGAAACACAGTTAGAAATGTTATTTTTTTTTGGAGGCGGGAGCGTGGGCAAAGCTGAGTTTCTTGCGTAGCGAGCTACAGAGCGGAGGGGACTGCAGCTGGAGAAGGGGACTGCAGCTGGAGAAGGGGACTGCAGCTGGAGAAGGTGCTGCTGCTCTTCCTGCAGTGGTGGATTGTCTGGGAACCTCCACAGAGCATCTTCTGCCCTCCTGGCCCATGGCTGTCCGCCTACTGCCACCACCAGCAGTGCATACACACGTCACAGTGACTCAGTGTCCAGCTTTGGTACGTGTTCAAACAGACTGATTCCACATTTCTGGGGCTGAAGACAAAGGGCTGTGGGATTCAAAAATCCCTCCAGCATTGTGCTTGCTCAGAATAGTTTCCTTGTGGGCATATTAAAGATGATTACACTTCTCATCACGGCCATCTAGCTAAACGAACAGACTGTGCACCTGGATTAAAAACATCTCCCCCAGCATCCTGGAAAGCTGCTGATAAAGAAGTAGAGTGGGTCAAATTCATTGCTGAGTTCCAGTAAGCCTAGAGGGAATGCAAATTTCTGTGACTTAAATATCATTCTAGCGACAGCTTACGTCGCTCCAGGCTTTGCTGGTTTGTCTCCAGGACTTCCAGCTGAGATGTAGCTTGATGTAAGTTGAGTATCTGTTGAGTAGCAGTATTCTGGTGCAAGAAAAGCTGGCAAGAGGGGACCTGGTCTGGTCACCTTGCTCTGACAAGATGCAGCAGCAGAGAAATTACAAATACAGTTCATTTTTCCAAACTGGTGAATAAAGGATGGATGAAACCTATATTAATATATCCTCAGACTGGAGTTTGATATGGGCCTTTTGACTACTCAGGATCTTATTGATGCTTGTTAGGACTTCTTTCCATGCTTCAAGATGGCATTTCAACCTCAGGGATGATTATGCTGCACCTGTACTCAGCCACATCCCATTTCCCATCGACATTTGCCACCTTGGCTTCACACTGCAATTTATCTACTACCTTAACAACATAGAGAACTAGGACCTGTAATTAATCCAGGCAGCCCAGTCATGTCTAAACTAAATACACCCAGCACAGACTGAGAATCAGACCAATACACTTGAGAAATCCTGACTGATTCCCTTAGGCTGTCCTGACAGGTAACATAGTCCAGCCCAATGCATCATCTCTGCTCTGCCCTACTGCAGAGAACAGACTTAGGATGCAGCCCGACATAACCTACTCTCAGGCACTTAATTGTCTTCAATGATGTGAAATTGCTGCATTCAAAACTATATGGAGAGCTCATTAAATGTCTATTAATAGCATTAGGCAGCACTCTATTGTGTAATGGTGGCACAGCTGGTTCATGTAACTTGCTGCATGGGATCTTTCTCGTGCAAGACATCTGTCCCCAGAGAAAACTGCTGAGAGAAAGAGGCAGGACAGAGACCTCAGAGGTTTCCTTTTCCCCAGCAGGAGGTATTTGGTGGAATACATTTGATCTGTCAGATTGCTTTTAACTCCTTGTATTTGCTGCTGGTTCTCCTCATTGGTTCTCTGGGGCTCCAGCATCTCCTAACTCTTTACTTAATTTCTTTGCTGAAGAGAAGCTCTTCTGTATTGTCCACCAAGCTGGACTTTTAACCTGGGATGCTTGGAAACATTTCAATATTTTTCTGCCTCATATTTCTGGCATATAAAAATTCATCCTATCTTAACACATTTGATTTAATTCTTCCTGTCCTGACTGAACATCTCCACCACTGCAAAATATGGTTGGACTGTGTACAGGGACCTGCTGGGTTCTGTAGTGGTTAAACAGATTTTGTTCTCCCACCCTTCTTGTTCACACATGTTTTTACACTGTTCAGACTATTCAGTGCCATTAATTAACACCATTTGAGATTGATTAAATGGAGGGATGGAGATTAATCACCCACCAGTTTAACAGAATTAATCACCCACCAGTTTAACAGCAAAGCATGCATCAGACCTGACTGGGGTCCAGCCTTGCCATACTGCAGCAGGAACCAAATCAAGGCATGTTTCTGCCCTGTAAGTGATTTTCTACATCACTGCATGGCCAGTGCATGGTTAGAAGTGCTTTGAGGATGGTCAGCACTGCACTGCTCCTTTGCAGGTGCCAGGTGTGTGCCAGAAGCACAGCAATGTTTTTTCAGCAGCAGCTGTAGGATTTGGCAATGGGCATCAGAAACTGGGCACTGGGCATGAATCCCCATCAGGCCTGGGATGCAGAGGGAAGGGGCTCTCCTCTGGCTCAGTCACAGCCCAAGCTGGCAAAAACATCTCACAGAGCACCCAGAAAGCCAATCCCACCCCAGCCCTGAGGGAAACTGTGCCCGTGACAGCAAGAGAAACCACAGGTTCCACACAGAGCTGCGGGGACTGTGGCTGGTGGTGTGACCTCTTCAAGAAGCAAGGGTTGGCAAGCAGAGGTGGCAGAAGCAGACAGCAGCACCATCCAAAATCCATCCTGAATAACAGGTGCTTTCAGTTCCAGAATAGTGCAGGGTATAGTCTAGAAATGACCATTTCAGTCCACAGTGAAGCAAGTACTGACTGGCAATGCCAAAATCTATTAACACTCTTTTTTGGTCATACCTTCAAATAATCTCCTCTAATTACAAACTCCACATCCCTCCATTCCATGATATAAAAATCTCTACAGATGGACCCAGGGGAATAAAATAAATGCCCATAAGCCAGAGAATAAATAGGCTTCACTGCAAAGGACGCATTTCTGTCTTCCAAACAATCACTTTGCTGCCATGTCTCCTTCCCTGGCATTCAGGAAAAATATATATCCCAAACATCTGAGTCCATTGGGCAGCTTGGAAATCTCAGTTATAGCATATAACAAAAGTGGCAGAGAGCCAAGTCCTGCCGTGGTGCACAGAGCCCAAGTCCTGCTCAGACAAATGAGCCTCTTTGTGCAGGAGCTTAACTTGGCCCAGGAAGAGGGAAGCTGGGTCCGACTGGCAGGATCAGTCTCCTCCATGGAAAATGGAAAAGGAAAGTAAACCAGTTTTTACAGAAAAATGCCCTATCATAATACTGGAAACTCAAACATAAACAGTTTGAGTGAACTTTTTCAGATTTCACCCAAATACAAAACTTTGTTGCTGTGGGAGTCTGGGTCTTTTTCCCAAGCGAAAGCCCTTTTTATCCACAAGAAACAGTGTTTTTCTCTCAAAAATGCACCAAGCTAAAACCTCTTTTTTTTTTTTTTTTGGTGCATAAGCTTTTCCAACTGAAACACTGTTTTTCAGGCCAGCCAAAAGTGACGGCCTACGTCCTCTTTAAAGTCCTTATTTTAAACACCTGCTTGCACAAAGCCAAACCTACTGGCGGTGAGGACTGCAGCCTGGGGGGTCACGGCGAAAAGGGGGATCCCCCAGGTTTGCTCATGGTAGGAGCTTTCCCAGGATGCTGGCTACTCACAATCTTTCCGTGTGGCCGCCTCAGGCAGCGGTGTGGCGAGGCTGAGGGTGCTGGACACGCCGGCGCTGGCGCTGTCCAGGCTGCTGCCGAGGTGTAGCCGCCTCATGTGCCGCACGACTGCTGTGGCGTTGAACGCTTGCTGGGGAAAAGCAAGAAGAAAGAAATAAAGAATAATAAAAAAGGGAGATGGAAAATTTACTTCTGCTCCTCTCCTGGCTGCTCAGGGTGTCAGAGGTGAATGAGCCCATCATCTTCCAAATTTTTCCTGAATTCTAGTTTCTAAGCTAGAAACAGCATTTTCAAACTGTTTGCATCTGTGCCCTGGTCCTGCTCCCTGTTGGTATTCCCACTACTCAGCTGGCAGCCTACAAAGCCATATTTGACACGTCCCCCTCTGCCCCAACACACAGGGTGTCCTCATTGCTTCCTGTCCCCCTGTGGTGCTGACCCCAAATTCACATAACACTGTGAGTGCTTTAGGGATGAGCAGCCCCGTCTCTCGCCATTGCATTTGGTACTTGGTGAGTACCATCCTGTATAAAGGGCCCTGCAGGTCATGTAACCTAAGTCTGGAACAACTATTTTGACCGGAATTTTGGGCAATAAGAGCACTAACAGGCTGAAAGAGTGGCTGTATGGGTGCTGCATTAGCAGAGCTGTGTCTCGTTGTCATCCCCAAGGACGGGTCACTTACTCTCCATTTGCTTTTCGCGAAGTTCTTCCGGATCTGAGCGCTGACCGACTCGTGGATGTTTTTGTTGAGTGCTGTGTCACCAGCAATCCTGAAATGGACAGAGCAGGCACATTTTAAGAGATCTTTTGCTCTCCTTGAGTATTCTTTACTTTTCCTCCTCAACAGAGAGGCTAGTCTCAGGTGTGATTGCACCTGCAGTGATGACGATTTCATTCACACAAGGGCTCAAACTTCCCATCACCGTCTCTGCTGGCAGCAGTGGTGGAAAATGCAGGGCAGTAAATGCAAGTGTAGATAAGGTTTGTAGGTCTGGCGGCTACAAAGAGGTATGGCCTGATTTTGTTGGTGTGTGGCTGCTTTCTATCACCACTACAACCCTGGATGAAGACATCCTGCCTTTTCTTTTCCTTGACACCTAAAGATTTAACATTAACAGGCTGAGACCACTTTTAGCCTCAGCCATGCAGAAGCTTCCAGAGCCACTCCACCCTGTCTGATTTCTGTTTGCACTGGAGATTTTCCTGCCACCCTGCAACGTACATAGTCGTTCGTCATGATTAATGTGGATTTACAGTAAAGCAGATACACGGACGCTCACTAAAGCAGCACAGACTGCACAAAATCTTGAGCTGAACAACCCTTAACTTAAAAAATTGATTGACCTTGCATGGTTTCTTTAACAGATAAAGACACATTTAAATCTTCACTCAACACTATTATTTCAAGGGAATTTCACTGATTCATTTAACTCCTCAAGGCATGAGATCTGTTGGAAGAGCAGGCACTGCAGGGAACTGATGTTGGGCCATGTGCTGGGGTAATGAGTACTGTCTAATGTAGGTGATGCAAGGAGGCAAAGATTGCTTTCTATGCTGTATGTGGTGCTTTCAGAAACCAATTTTTCAGCCCTGGTGTAGAAAAACAATGTCCATTAGCAATAAAAAATTGTAAGAAATTGAATAATCCATCAGGACCAGAGTCTCCCAGTCTGGGTAGCTCCAATAAGATAACCAGAGGGTCTGGAGTACTCAGCAGTCATCTAGTCCTTCTCCCCACTCCAGCTCTGTCAAAATAATTTTGACAAGTATTTGGCTAACCAGTCCTTAAAGATCCCCAAAAGATAGAGACTCCTCAGGCAACCAATTCCAGAGCCTCACTATCTCCCAGAAGACATGGAAAATAGTTTATTCCCTTTGTCTTTGAAGCATCCTTTCACATATTTGAAGACTGTTATCATGACTTCTCTCCGTCTTCTCTTCTCTAGACTAAACAAACTGATTCTTTCACTGTTTCTTCATAACTCATATTTTCTAATCCTCTGATCTAGTGAGCTCCTCTGGATTTTCTCCAACTAGTCCACATCTTCTGTAGAGGGGTGCACCCGAGCTGTTCTCTGTTTTCCAACTAAGGCAGCAGAATGGCAGCCTTGCTTTTTGTTTCTTCAGAGATGAAACTGCTTACGTATCCCAGCCTGCTGTTTCCATTTATGTGTCCCGTGAATTGGAGACAGCCCTTCTTCCATTTTGCCCTGATCATTCCGGACTGTAACCCTGTTCTTCAAGGGACATTCTGCTTTTCCTGCCTTCATGTCCATGGCACATCTAAGAAGCACTCTCTGAAACCAGCCTTTTTCCAATTGTTGTCCTCCTTCCTGCTGGCAACCAGTCACCCAGGATCATCATCAGAGAGGTGAGAGGAGCTGCTTACTCTTGGGAGGAAGGAATAAATCCTCATCTCCCAAGAGTGGAGACCCACCAGTCCCATCCTGTTGCTCATCTACATTGGGTCATTCAAGAGTACTGGAGCCAGCAGGATGGTGGAACAGGGCTCCCATTCAGGGTAGCTCTAATCCAGCTGGGAAGGGCCCTGTCTGACAGCCACCACCATGTAGCTTCTACCTCAAGTAGACAGGAGAACTGGACAAAGCATGGCTCCCAAACGGCACCTGACTTCCTCCCCTGGGTCCCTGTGCTGTTGATGGAGAAGAGAAGGTGTTTGGCTGAGAACTGTTTGGCTGAACTCAGACCTTTCTCTGAAGATGATTCCTTCTGATCACCTCTCCCAGTGACAGGGAGCCAAGCTGGTCTGGATTTCCCACTGGGGCCAGGCATCTAAAAGTTTGGTGAGGCAGTATTTGAGTTAAGCACCATGTTCACTGTTTCATTCTCTGTCCTGTACAGTGAATACTGCCAGGCTCAGCACAGACCCTGGTGGATATCCATGCAGTATACACTCCCAGACAGGCTCTAGCAGAGTTTCCCAGTGGGAATGCAAACTACTAGTCAGAGTCACTCTGAAATGTCATGAGCACTCTGCTCTCTGCAGAAACACCTCCTTGGTGAAGGCAGGTGCTCTCAACACATACCAGCTGGGATCCCTGGCCATCATACCACAGATCTCAGGAGAAAACTAAGCTGACAGCTTAATATGTGGACAGCTACAAGCCAAACCATCCATTCAGTAACTGGTCAAAAAGACCAAGAGAGAAAATTCACTTACACTTTCAAAGAACATTTTTCCTCCAAAGCTAATGATGCATTTTCCTTTATGAACAAGTTGGTTAACAAGCTCTGTAAGCACAGATCCTATTTTCCACTTGTCAAATTTTATTTTGGAACAAGTTCTTGGGGCATGATACCCTTGCCAGCTCTTCCAGAAGATTGTTCTTGCCAGTCTCCACAAAGACTTGAAAATGCATTTTTGCCATATGAAACTTTTAATCAGACGTGTAGCTCCAATACAGGCTATATTTGTGTTTTTGGTTTAGGGATCATTTTCTGAAATGCTGGTGGTTTCAATAAGAAACTGCTGGTTCCGATAGTTCACAAACTGTCTTCCACCACCCCTAACTCGATATTCACTATGCAATGCTTGTAATTCCAGGAAAACAGTATTGGTATTTGGGCATTTTCCAAATAGGCAGAACAGTACTTGTGTACTTCACAAGGGGATGGACAGACATCCTGTGAAGCCCTCGGATGCTACAGTGGTGTGACCATCCCAGAGCTAAGCATTAGCACCTTGCAGATGCTAACCTTTAATCAGAGCAAAATAACAGCCCTTCTAGGGTAATTTAGTGCAGCAGGATCTGTTCAAACACGTGCTGGTATGCTGAATAGCGTGGCTCAAAACACAGCCCCTGCCAAAGCCAGGGGTGGGATTGTTCCCCAACCTGCCTCTGAAGAACTATCCTGTTAATCTTGTGGTTCTGTAACATGAGGACTACGCTTTTATACTGTATTTTGCACTTGGAGGATTTTGAAGCTTTTATAAAATAACACTCATGGTGTTATCATGTTTATAGTATAGCTTTACTTCTTGGAAAACAAGACCAATGTTAACATCCTTTAGTTGTTTGTTGGTGTTTTGCTGGAGATGTGGTGGTTTGAGGACACACAAGAGGTGGAAGTGAGCAGGGAGAAGCCATATCTTTCATACTCTTAACTGGTAGAGTTTTTGAAAAATGAGATAGGCTTTTGGGCACCTACCCTGAGGTGGGTATCATGACCATCATCACATCTATACTGAATGTATTTAATCATGAACTTTAGTTCCCTTGCTGAGAAGATAATGAATGAAATTTAACAGGTTTTAGCACATGTTATAATTACCCTCCCCCCTTTCCCTAACTGTCCAAGCCCATAGGATATAAATGATCTTGCTTTTCCTTTTAGGACAAAAACACCTTAGAACCTTTCTTTCTTTCTTTCTTTCTTTCTTTCTTTCTTCCTCCCTTCCCATCACTACATATCCTTTGCCTGCAGGAATCATCTCCATTTTCACCGAGAAACAATAATCAACTTGAGCTGATCAAACTGATGCATATCTAGTCAAACCCTGAGAAACAGTTCCTGGCTTTGCAGTTAACTTTGAGGTTAACTGTGTCAGCACTGAAGTTTGTTTTTATCAACTGTACCAGCTGGCCCAGTAAAAGATATTGCTTCTACCTACCACACACACATACAGAAGTAAAATTAAACTAATCAGAATAATGAATCATCTGCTATCATGCTGAGCATCATCCAGAAGCGAGCGAGGACTGATTAGTCTAAGTGGCTTTTCTCTCAGGGTTCCAGTTTTGCAGCTACATCCTAATAATGGTTTGAGGGACAGAATTGGATAGTAAGAGTCATGACTCTCCATCCCAAATGCGTCCACTGAAACTAAGAAAGTTATTTCTCATTAATAAGCATAACAAATCTCATGCTGCACATGAGAGGAATCTAATCTAATGATCAAATATTATTTCACAGTATCTAATTTATTTTAGCTCTCTAGCTGAGTTCAACCTTATCACACCAATTTATCTGTCCATACCACTTCTAAGCATTGAGGGGAACCTCCAACAAAGACAAAACCAGTAAATTTCCTTTTGGCCAGTTCTTTATTAGCATGCTGCAAGCATATGTCTCATTCTCCCTGCCCATGACAGCAGGCAAAGTCTTTCATCTACCATTATTTTCTGAGCCCTCATACTGAAGGCAGCCAACTCAAACGCTGTGCTGGCCACACAGTGCTTGGAAATGCTCTTCAGTAGGATGACATGGAGTTAGCTGTAATGGATAATGCTGATGGATCATAACTCTTCTATATGTACACACACACACACACATATCTATATCTCCATGTACACACATGTATGTGTATAAATATACACACACACGTACTGCATCAGTGATGTTCCAAAATAAATAGAGTGCAGGGATGAACTCGATAAGAGTTTGATTTAATGCTGTAAACATCAGCAGCTCCCTTCAGGAAGGCCTTTTCGCACTTCAAACAATACCCTCTGAGAAGTGAGCTCTTTGTAAACCACGTCCTTTCCCTGGGTGGAAATTATTATCTGGATTGTGCTCTCTGGCACATAATAAACACTCAGGGTCACGGCCATAATTTTCAGAGGCTCAGCCCTTGCCAAAAGCTTTGTGATTCTTCAGCGTAGGCGTGGATGGACGCTCGGCATGTCCCAAGCATCCTCTCTCCCTCTGCACAAGCAACGGGGAAAGGCAAGGACCACACTCGTACCTGCAGACACAGGTGCCTAACTGGTGCCACAACCTCCCTCTCCCTTATACAGTCCAAACACGGAAGCCACATATTCATGGCACCCCTTCCAGCTTCTGTATTAGCTTCCTAACTGCTGGACTTTGTCCTTGCCCTCTGAGCACTCTCTTCTTTCCTTCTGATCTGAGCCTGGAGGCTGAATTTGGCTCTGCAGGGCCTCGTTCGACCTGGCAGGGAGCACATTTCCATAATCCTTGTGGGTCCCTTCCAACTCAGGATATTCTGTGTTTCTATGATTCTACAGATTCTCAGGTTTCTGCCGCTCACCCTTAATCACCTCAGACTGAGCCACCGCCCCAAACAGGATGTGGGTTCTGACATGGCAATATATTTAATAAACTTAATTGCTGTCATTAATATGAGCCAGGGAAACATTAAAATGTATCAAGCTGTAACAAAACCACTCCACTCTGTAGTTACCTTTATTTTCCATGCCCTTTTTGAAAAGTCATCAGTGGAACAACCGAGCAGAACACTGCACCTTTGCAACACACCATGAATAGTGCAAACCTCACTGAAAGATACACTAAAAAATAAGCAACTTTTCCAATGGAAAGCATAAGTCACCTGTATATCAAGCTGGAGAAATCTGTATAAATGGATTGTAGAGGCAAATCTCACATATTGTACTGTTTCAGCTACCATAGTTCACTGCAATTATTAGCCTCCTTTTCTGCCAACTCTGAATTAAACATACCGTCCCTCTGCCAAGGCCATTTGATTATAAATAGCAAAACATCACGTAAATGCAGGCATGTGGGGAGCAGATACAGCACAGAAAAGCTGGCCATTGGGAAGAAGTATTTACTTTTTACTAGGGTCTGTTCCTGTGCAAACATTTAATCATGCAAATAGCTGTCTATTCTGGAGAAGTTTTCCAAAATTCAAAGAGATCATTAACCTTAAAGGCATAAATGTAATATCTTGCAAGATCCAGTTCCTGCAAGCCCTGTTTGGAAGTTTTAAATAAAAACATGGTAATTGAAATAAGAGATGTATTTTGGAATTGGCTTGTTCTTCACAAATGTTACATAAGAAACAACAAAGCCTCATGGCAATGTCATGCACAGCTAACCACTTTTATCACAATCAGATTATAAAATCAGTGTTGACTACTCCTGATTTGATAGTTTTCTTCCTAATTTGTGGCTTAATGCAAAGATCTGATACTGTAAGGGAAGATACCACAGGAGGAAGAAAAAGAGAAAGCGGGAAAATGTTACTATGTGGAGCTCCTTCATCATCTGTGTTAATTATCTACCATGTGCACAGCACCAGTGACTCAGGTAGGTCTGTGTTTTGCTGGTGAGACAAGGAGACAAACCTGAAGTCTCACTAAAGTCTGGCAGAACTCCCATCAATCTCAGTGGAATCGGAATTTCACTTCATGACAATGCTGGGGTTCAAAGATGCTTCTCCAGTTACGTTGCTCGTGCAGACAAAAGACGTGCTTTTTATGAGATGCCATTAAGGGCTACTTGCAGTGTGAGCACTTTGGAAAAGCAAATAATTTATGGGGCCCCTTGAAGTCTGCTCTGATCACCTCTTCCCACTAAGCCAACAGTCTTAGGTACCTATCCCCCATGGATAACACACTGTGTCAGCACTGTGGAAGGTGATGTGGCTAATGGGGGTTGAAAATGGGTACACTGAAAAACACATGCTCATCTGAGAAGCTGGTGTGAGATGCCCCCATTGTAAAAGGTGGAATCATGAGAAGAACTCAAAGCTGGACTTGCTGGAAACTTAAATATGACCAGGTTGAGGGAACGACACAAATGACCATCAAGAGGAAACACAGAGATCTACTCCCCCTCCACCAAAAAGGCCTTTCCCTCCTTCCAAGAGCAGGAGAGAATGCCATTGCAACAGATGTAATGGTTAGAATGAGAGAAGAAACAGCAAAAACCTCACTATTTCCTGACATAAGCAATCTGTGTGCAAAATGAGTCCTGAGCAATGCTTTGGCAAAAGGAGATCCTATCACTAACTCTGAAATACCAGATAATATTTGGGTAAGTAGCTTTGATTATCCAAAAAGGCATTTATCACTGCAGTATCCAAACCCTCCATAAGATCACTGCACCACTCTCCAGAGAGGTCCATAACAGCAACATCTGTGTTACAGGAAGCCTTGCAGAGTAAGGGGGGATGAGCCATCGAGTGTTGCTCATGAGCACAGTGGGGAGGACAGAGGCAGACCTGAAGCCATAGCCCTGGAAACCTCCCTGCTTTGCTTCCACTGTACAACTGTCACAGAATCACAGAATCATAGAAGGGCTTGGGTTGAAAGGGACCTTAGAGATCATCTAGTTCCAGCCTCCCTGTCCTGTAATACACTGGCACATACTGCCTCTGTGTCAAAGGGAGGTGGATTTGGGATGTGGGGTGGAAACATGGTGCATATTTGAAACCTCCCTACTGCAGTGCCATTTGCATGTCTGACATTTCAAATGCTGTGACCCTGAGCTGTGCTTTACATGGCTGGGAAGCAGCCCTTCAAATGAACCACAGTCTGGCAAAGTCGGCCTGGCAGAAGAAGATCCTCTGACACAGAAATGGGGGAAGACCCTCTTGGGAGATTGTTTTCACATCAAAGAATGAATTCTATAGGAAATAATGAGAATTATGGAGCAGTCTGTGAGTTTCCATTGGCCCTTGGCCATGACATGCAAAAGAAAAAAAAAAAGAAGAAAAGGAATGAAAATACTTTTATCATTTTGTTCCTTTTGGAGGGCCCAAAAGCTGTGTGTGCAGCAAGTGCCACGTTTCTTTGTTGCACTCCAGCAACCAACAGAGATGTAGAAGGGCCAGGAGCTGGATTCTTTCGTTTTGTGTATCTTGGATGTAAGGCTTTGGAAAATTTGCCTTTGAGTTGTACAAATGGTCACCTCACTCCCTGCTGGGAGTTGCATTCCCATTGTTTATTCTGTATTTCTAATATTGAGTTCTGTAATATTTAATTTCCCAAAGCTCGTATTTTTCTTCATCTCCCAAAAACTGGATTTTGTTTCTCAGATTTTCTTTTTGTCACACAAGCTATGCAAAAGGAAATGGCATTTGGGGCAACTGTGATAGTATGAAAACAGTCTAATATGGATCTGGGAAGAAAATGTCATGCCATTGACTATTTTCTGTTGCTGCTATTATAACAACAAAAATAATATCTTACCTCATATATATAACATTCCCTTCCCTAAAAGACTTGGATTCAGAGCCCATGTGAGGGTGCAGGTGGTAGTGTGGGATGATGCTCCCAGTCACTCAGGGCTGCTCAAAAGTAAATGACCCAATCTTGTTCCAGTTACATAAACCTTGAGTAACATTGACAAAGTCACTCATATGAAAAGGCATCATCTAATTTAAAGCACTTTAGGGAGGTCTAAATTACAAATGCAGTCAGATCAAGTACTCTTCTGTAGGCCCTGCAGAGAGACAGCACTGCTACTGCTAATTCACACTCAGCTCATCCCTCTCTAGTTTATCTCTTCCATTCAACGAGAGAGGATAACCAGCATGTGGAACCAGCTCCTTACTGCAAGCAGGAAGTGGACTATTTGTGAAGCACAGATGAGGATTTCCTACTTCATGGGATGCTCTAAAGGGCTCTGATATTACCTTGGCAAGGACCTCATGAGCAGGTTGATATCCAGCCTTCTGCACACCTGTGGAATTTGACCTTTGGGCCCCAGCTATGATTTCTGGTTTCAATCATTTTGTCATGTGCCACTGCTGCACTACAGTCAACATACACAATTCAGCATTTTACTAATCCTTACACAGATACTCAACAGGTTGGTGAGGGAGATTAAAGTCCTATCACAGTCTTCCAGGAAAAGCTGGATGACAAAGGCAGGTTTTTTTCAATAAAAGTACCAAATTATTTAGTAGAGTATGTCACAGGAAAACCACTTCCACCCACGAATGTAAAACGATGCCCTCTGCCCTGAGGGCCTCACCCACCAGTGACTGCAGCTTACCAAGGGTGCCGTGCTGCTTGCTCACAGGTGTATCTTTTATTAGGGTCCTTCTCCATCAAATTGCGAATGAAGTCTTTAGCTGCAAAAAAAAAGAGAGAATAAATGAAAGCAACAGAGTTGATGCCCACTTCTGCTGATGGGTGATCAGACAACAGCACTGATCAGGCTACCAAGTGCCGCTTGGCCACAGCACAAGAAAATGGCCCTAAGGCCATTTGTCATTTATTAGTATAGATATAACCAAAAGGGACTTAGGACCAAAGCCAAACTATTTAGTACAGCAGATAAAAGCTGAAGGCATCTACTCCTGCAGGTATATTTAGGAGTGGGATGGATAATTCGGAGTCAGCAGAGTACAAGCCTGGCAGCTCCCAGCTCCCCGGTCAGCCACGTGCTTCTGACCATGTTAATGGTCTGAATGTGGCCACATCATTGCAGGTGCTGGTAAACCCAGTGGGAAAAGCAGGGAGGAGGTCAGATGCCACAGCAAGAGAAGCTTCTCATTGCTCACTCCAAGCAGTCACACACATGGACAGCTGTGAGGACATTGTTGTGTGTTTAAAAAGGAATTTAGCGAGGCAAATGGACTCCCTGGAGCACGAGGCAGTGTGTTTTTAATCGACGCTATAATGGAAGGAAGGGAGGTTGCAGCATGGCATGCATCCAGTAGTGTCAGGGCAGTGTAGCTGAAGGAGCCACAGCAAAGCCAAATAGGGCAGGAAAATCTTTGTGCTGATTTAGGTGCTGGACTTTCCCCCAAAAGGCAAAGGGGTCTGCCAGCAGACCTTCATATTTTCTACAAAAACCCTTAAGGGCTTGAAAAACTTCTCATCACATATATTTTAAAGCAATCCTTCACAATGATATCTGGGCTGCAGATGTAAGCAGCATGAAGTGTTGCTCTATGTGCAGATAAGAGCATATATAATAGTCTGTATAATAAAAACAATTTTTATCTCCCCTGCCTCAATCAGTAGCACTAATGAATCAGAAAATTGCATTTCTAGAGGTATTTTTATATGATGAAATATTCCTAGAATTAATTTCTTCTCCTGCATGAAACAGAAGATGTTTCCCTGGGTCGGAAAGAGCAAGGACACTGAGCTTGTGTGACCTCTTGGAGACCACACAGCATGTCAGGGGCACATGCAGGGTGCAATGCTGAATGTGTCCCTGCTGTCACCTATGGACACTGATGCTGGCAGGCCATGAGCCATGCTGGAGCCAGAAGCCTTTAGCCATAACTGCCTGTAACATGTTGGTGTATCTGCCCCTCTGCCGGACTGACCAGAGCAGGCACAGATGGGCACTGTGGGTTAAATATCTTCTGCACTGGGTGGGGAGCTGGGCGAGCATATGGGCAGCTATCTGGATCCAACCACGTGGACAGTCCTCCCAGATTCTGGATCTGCTCATCCACCTCATTTGGAAGCCAATGATTTCCTGGGTTTTTTTGCTGCACACGCTGCAGTCTCACTTTGGAGCTGCAGTGCAGTGTCAGTAACTGAGCCAAAACAGTTTGCCACCTTATTATTAATGACACTTAAACCATCTGCTTCTCATTTGGATTTGATTGAGAAATTAAACTGCTTTTTCTTCTTGGGACAGTCTTCTGACATCTTCATCTTCTGTCTCAGCTATGTTTTGGTGCTTTGTGTGTGGCTGGACAAAATCATACTTAATTTGCTCTCCTGCAGAAACAAATTCCCAGAACTATTTAAGCTGAGAGAAATGCACATTCCCAATGGTCTTCAGTCAAAAGGAACTCTGGACATGATGGAGGGGGCATTCTCACTCCCAGAGGAGGATACAAGCAATAGACATACATGCATGCATGGTTGTTGCAATTCAAGGAGCAGTAACTACTCACCAGACTCAGAGATGTCATCCCAGTACGGAGAGTCAAACTCATACTCGGCCTTAAGGATCTGCTCAAAGAGTTTGGAGTCATTTTCATCATAGAAAGGGGGATATCCACAGAGGCTAATGGTGAACAAGAAAAGAGAGATGTAACCATTGGACCCATCTTTGTCAAGAAGAAAGAGGGAGGGAGAAAAATGGAGAAACTCTTGCTTAAGACTTGCCCCAGTAAGTTTTCAAGCAGGCAAGTGTTACCATGAAAGAATTTTGTTCAGGGACACATAAAGCCACTTCTGAAGACTGGCACTGTCCTGGACAAAGAGGAGTTCTGCTTGGAAACGTGGTGCTGTTGATCCCACGCTGACTGATGCAGACATCCTGGCCTCTCTCTGCATGCTTTTGTGTGTTTAAGTAGAGGAGCACTTTTATTACACAGACATGCCCCCTTCCATCCTCTCCTATACATGTGGCAAGAAGAGATTTCAGGAGCTACACCTTACACCCACAGAGCCCCAGCTCTCAGCACATCCAGCAGACCTGGTATGCAAAACAGGACAAGGAACCCTGCAGAGCTATCAGGCACAGGGTAGGATGCATCTGCAGGTTGTGCTGGGCTCTGCATCCCCAGGCACAGCGAGAAGGATGTCTGGGAGTCAGTCCCCCTCTGCAGCAGAGCCTGCAAAGGCTGGACATGGACCTGCTGCTGACACAGATACACAGAGAGCCTCTCCCTTTCTCACTTCTGCAAGTGCTTTTGCTGACCGTGTCCAACTGCCTGCCTTGCCTAGGGCTAACAACAGTCCTGCCCTGTTTTTCAGTATTTATAATCAGACTTCTCTAAAAACCTAACCCCAGGACAAGTGGGACATCGAATATTATGTGCCTAGTTTGAGCTACAACACTCAGAGTGCACCCCCCCAGTGCTGCAGACAGCAGGACAGTCACTGTGCCGAGGCAGACGTGGGAAAAGCACATCCACCACTGCACTGAGCCAATGCAGTGACAAAACTCGTGTGTCAGAGATCTCTCACACCCAGCTGATGCTGCAGGCACTAGTCTGTCCCTTTCTAAACAGACATGTCGGCAGAGATGCCCCTTCTTCAAGTTTTAATACCAGGGTTGAAAGTGCCAGATTTACCTCCAAGGCTGCTCTGAGGTTTTAGCAAACCCACTCTGCTCACAGTTAAACAGACCTTCCTGTCTCTACGGTCTATAAAGAGATGATGTATTTTTTTCTCTTATCTCTAGTCCATGGCTAAAATTATTCTTACACATACTTTGTTGGTACTGAAATAATCTTTTCCCAGCAGTTTTCTTAAACTCTGAGTCAATCAACCTCAATGAGGCATTTAATTGGAGAGAGCCAGCAATTATAAACAGAAACTGCAGCAACAAGAGAGCAAAAGGGGGGAACTATAAGAAATGAAATACTTGAGTTATTTATAACCCAAAGCCAGCCAGCTGCCCTGGAGGTTATTTGAACCAACTCAACACTTGAGGGTGAAAGGAGCAATGTTTTGTTAGCTCTGAAGAGCCAGTGTGCTTGATAAATAATTTAAATACTGAGTGAGATGTTGATCTGCGTCACATCCATATTGACCTGGGAGAACTCTGATGAAATTTGCAGCATGATAATGAATCCACTGTGGTCCAGCTGAATCAGAAATCTCTCTCTTTATCTCGCAGAGCAGATGAGCCAGTCCTCATTTGGGTCCCACTGGATGAGTGCCCTTATCAAAAGCAAGTAAGATAACCTCATGCCAGACAAGTATGTACCTTCGGAGCAGGACTGTGTTCCTACTTCATAGGCACGTGCTTGTGTGTGGGGCTGGGTGAAGCAACTCCTGTGTGAAACCCCATGGTAGAAGTGGTGTATGAGGAGGGCCATTAAAAATGCTGCATTTAAGCAAGTGCCAAAAAGCCACTATGAACAGGGACAATGAAGGAAAAACACCTGGTAGTGTGAAGAATGTTTAAATAACTTGTTTTAGTGTAATAATTATCAGTGCTCACATTCCACAGTCCGGGGGGGGGGGGATGCACACAAACTGATTTTCACCTTCCTTCCCTTTTGCCACAGAATCACGGAATCATTAGGTTGGAAAAGACCTCTGAGGCCATCAAGTCCAACCTGTGACCGAACACCACCATGTCAACTAGACCAGGGCACTGAGCACCATATCCAGTCTTTCCTTAAACTCCTCCATGGACAGTGACTACTCCACCCTCACAACTCTCACAATTTGTGCCCTTTACTGAGTGGTCTGGAAATGATGGAGTTGTCAGCACCAGCACTGCAGCTGTTAGGATGGGCACTGGGGTAGGGATGCCCAGGCTGATGTAAAACAGCTCCTCCAAGGGCACTTGGAGCCATCACTCTGTCCTTCTTTCCTGGGAGGCTCAGGGGACTCTGTATAAGAAGCCTGGCAGTCCCTTATTAATTTCTTGCCCTCCTCAGCACTTCCCTTAAACAAAAACCCAAACTGCTCCAAAAAAGCATTTTAAGGTGAGCAGACAGCGCTGTGCATGCCGAGGCACTGGCAGGCTGCTCTGGAGAGAGAAATAACTCTCTCTAAATGTGCACTGTACTAATTACCTTGGCAAAGGCTACAAGAGCACAAGTCGGGACTGCTGTGATTTACACGCACTTGTGGCAGCAAAATGTAGGAGTGAACTGCCGAGCAGCACAGAGCTGGAGGGCTATAACCCTGCAAGGGGGAGCACAGGGGAATGAACCCCAGCAAGAATCCCAGCCTCTCCAGAGCCTTTCAGCTCCTCCACTGCTCCTATGCACAGTTTGAGTATCTACATCTTCTATGTGCAGAAGGTCCCTGCAGCCCTGGGTGCTGGGAGGGGTGAAGCACAAGGAGAGACAGGAGAGTACCAGGACTGCTGGGAGCTGGGCACAGGGCAAAGCTTTTCCCTTGCCAGTGGGAGGTTGAGGAGTTTTAGTTGCTATTACAGGTCACGGCCAGGGACATCCCCCCAAACCAGCCCCTCACATGAGAGCAGGCTGAGTGCATGGCAAGGGCTGATCCTGAATTGTCCAGGAATGGGATGAACCTCCTGCACAGGGGAAGGCAGGAATATTCCTCAAGGAGGTAAATCAATGAGGACCCCCACCAGAACACAGGTGAGAAGGGAGAAAGCTCTGTAGGTCAGAAGAGGTGGCATTTGGGAGGGGAACATCAGGGCATCCTGGCACAGTGACAGGTTGAGAGCCAAAATACAGGCAGTCTTGCTGTCCTTTCCCTTAAAAACAGAGTTTAGGAAGACAAAGAAGTTTTAATGTTACTTTAATATTTAACATTATTGGCTCTGCAGAAAGGGATGGGAAAGCCCCAGTAAATCAGCCTATCATACAATTCATAGCTGGAGGGAATATTCTTGGACTTTCAGCAACTGGGCCACTTTCCAAAGTCTATAATGAGTTTTTGGTTAATTTGTACAGAATCAAAATCCCACCGACTTTGTTTCCATCTGCTGGGACATTCTGTGTGAAAAAAAACGACCTCACTATCAGAGGTTCTGCTGCTTTTCTTTAGATATGCAGAAATGCAAAAATAAACCCTCTGTCTTCGATGTGAAAAAAACCTACACTGTCCTGAGGGAGTTTCAGGCATATATTGGTTGTCATAATTTTCTTGCAGTTTCAACAAATAAAAGATTTTCAGAATTATTTAGCAACCTTATCACATCAGCAACAGATTTTCCCCTAAACTCTTACTTCCAGTCTTGCCTTAAAAATAATGGGATGCAGATAGGAAAAACACAAGTGGATGTATGAAAAAAATATATTGCCAGAAGTCATTTCTAGAAGCCACCATGAGAGCACAACAGCAGGAACCTCTTCTCCTCACCATGCAGAGAAAGCAAATCCCTGCAAGCTCTCTCTACATTTTGGAGGTGATATTAAAGGCTAAATAACTCATTCACATAGTCAGTGCCCAGCCTGCAGCACAAGAGACACCAAGGACCAAGAGACACAAACAATTTTATAGTTAGATTAGAGCAAAGAATTCAGTAAGTGCTCAAAGACCTGAGATGTATGGCGTGGGAAGTCATCCAAGTGCTATTTATAGGGATAAACACATGTATTTCTTCTGTATATTTTGGGAATAGACCCTCATAGTGGCTGACACCACTGCCCTCACAGAGCTGTGGACAAGGACATGTTAACCTAGGGAATCAAAGACAAATTAGGAAGCAAGTGATGAGTAACAATCATTTGAGGTTGTCTTCCCAGCATTTATGTGAGTTATCCTGAACAATCCAACATGCCTTTGTACTTTGCCAGCACTACTTCTCCTTCCAGTATCAAATAAGTTAATTATTCCTCAGTTTCTTGCTTAGGCTTGTGTGTGATGCCAAGCAGATGAGATGACTGACCAGTTTTTCCCAGTGTATGACTCCAGGGGGATGGTGGAAACTTCTTTTGGCATAATACTACTGTCCCTGGTTAATCCTTCCATACAAACATCACTGATGATTCATGAACATCTATTTGAAAATCAAAAACAGGTCAGCAGCAAAGTGTGAAATTACGATCCAAGATTTATTTCCAGATACCTATTGTTTATGAACAACAGTAACAAACCAATAATTCTCTTGTCCTAACAGTGAACAGAATCAGAAGAAAATTCAAGGCAAAATGTGCTCAGCCTAGTGCAGAAGAGACAGGAGGTGTTGCCTATGAATAACCAAGGGCTGAGGCAGAGCACTCTGTTGGCCCAGGTTCTTTTCCAGCTTTGAAACATTATTTTCTATTTTTTCCATAAATTAACTTAATCTTCTCTTTATCAGGTATGCATGTAATCAGTATTTTAGTTTCACAAGCTTTTGTAACCCCTTACTCCAGCTGCTGGGAATCCAGTGAAGTCTCTTGCTCTTCTTAAGCTTCATATTTTTAAGCTGGACACATTATCAGAACTATTTTGTGATAAGTGGAAAGCTGAGCTCAACACTGAGGCTGTTTCCAATTCAGAAATACTGCAACTGGAATAACAGGAAATTTCAGGCTCTAAAATTAGTTTGTGTGAATAATGACATCTCATGCAAAACAGGTTTTGATAAAAACTCTGCTGGTGCGGCCTCTGCAATCTGGCTGTCATTAACGAGAGGCATTAGAGACTGGCACTGAAACAAAGGTACTCTTTCCTAAGACATCCTTTGCCTTGCATATCACAGAAACAAATATTTCTCTAGAGCATTGGTGCCACAGAAACAGTTTGTTCTTCCAGTGTCATAAACTGAGGGCTCTCAAGTGAAACTGAGCTTTTGTCTGCAGGCACTCAAACCACTTGTAGTAATAATAGCTCATAGCATCTTTAATTTATGCCTGGCTTCAGTGTTAGATTCCCCTGAGTTTCCATCTTCCTAAACGACAAGACTGTCCAGAGTGGCTGTGAGAATCTGTGGGAGAGGTGGGGAGGTGATGCAGAACATTGTGCTTGGATTGCCATGTGCAAAAATTGCACCTCCAACTGCTTTAAGCTTGTGCAAGTAGCTCCAACTGTGCTGACAGTGGAGCTGGAAATGGCACATCTGGATGGGTGCAGTGATACACTGGAATTAATAACTCCTGCTCAGGGCAGGATTAACTACCAGTGTTGCACCAGAGTGGCTGTGCTGCTGGTGCTTGAGGCATCTCAGTGTCATTCCACACTGGGAGCTCGCTGGCTCTGCCACCTCTGGTGGAATGGCACTGCTGAGACAGCAAACCCAAGTGTTAAATCCGTGCCCATCAGTGGTGGGATCAGACACTCCGGCAGGGCTGCTTCCTTCCAGCTTAGGGAAGGACCCTTTTCCTCTCTGCTGTATCCCAGACGTCCACTCTCTTAAGAGAGACCACGTCTGCAACTTCTGGTTATTCCTGGAAGCAAGGATGACATCCAGACCAAGACTAGGACGTGTGAGATGTGGGCTGTGTTTCTAAGATCACATTGCACTCAACAGAGACGGAGTCAAGGGAGACTGGAGAGTGATGCAAATCTTCCCTAAAGCAGATGGATCCATACTGTGAAAGCAGGGCTCTGAGTACAGAGCAGGGTGTGATCCAGTCACCTCAGCATGGGCATCTGGTGCTATCTGACACAGTCCATGGTCTCCCTCTTGGCTCCATCTGTCACTCTCCAAGGAAGGTCTCCACAGCACGCTGCATCTGCCAAGTGCACGTGGCTGTCCTGGATGCCCCAGAGTGGCACTAAATGTGGAAGTTTAGGCAACTGAAGGGCACACCCTGGTGAAAGGACTGCTTGCACTGACCCAGAGTGGGTTGAGGTGCCCAGAAAAAGAGTCCTGTGCCATCGGAGAAGCTGAAGTGCACAGCACCCCTGTCCTCAGCTGACAGGGATGTCATGGGAATATGCAGGGCTGGACTGTCCTGAAGCCACAGCTTGAGACCAGGCACACTGTGTGTGACTGCAACAGCAAGCACTAAGCACCTACATCAGGGGAACCAAAGGGAGCCCTGAAATGCTGCTGTTACAGGAGCATGCTGAAGGATGTAGCTCACGTGCAGAAATACTGAAGGAGGTGGTCTGGTCCAGACCCAATCCCACCCAAGCTGTAACAGTCTGGCAAACACATTACCATGATCCTTCTGCAGCAAAGTGTTATTGCCATTCATTTGGACTGTACACAATACAAATCAAGTCCTTATTACCTGAAGCACAGGAACCCTGAAAAGGCTTCCTTGTCTTGCAAACAGGAATTCATAGGGCCTGTTTCTTACCGAGTTGATTTAAGCCTTCTGGGTTGGAATTCCCCATACAGCAAATAGGGAATTTAAATTTGAGGACTGTGCATGCCTTGCTTGACAAGCCAAGCACATGCTGATTTGGAAAACAGAGAAGGAAACAGAGCTGAACCTTGTAGAAAGAGCAGCCTTGCTCAGGAAAGGGGGAGGATTAGGGATGAGATTGTAATCTTCCACCTACTGAAGATGTGTTCAAAAACTGGGTGTGGAGGACACGTTACTTAGCACTGTCTCACCCCTATTGCTCAGCAAGACACATAAAAGCAACAAGTGAAATAACAACAGGTCTGCCAGCAAAAAAAGACCTTTGGTGCAAGAACCATTGATGCATGGGACTGAAAACTTGGGGGAAAGCAGAGCCAGGTTTATCTCCGTGCAACCAGATGCAACAGTTCACAGCCCTCCCGTGGGCTGCCAGAGGGACACACATTTTCATGGTGGATATTTGACAATAAACTGAACCCAGGCAGCAGCTGAGTCTGGAAGTGAGGCAGGGTACTGCTGTCTTCCACCTGCATCCTCCTTTTTGCCACTTGCTGAAGCTGGTACTCAGCAAAGTACTAAAAAAGCAACAGAAAAGACTCTGTGTCCTGCCATGGCTGTCAAGGACTGAATACATTAAAAAAACCCCAACCCCTAGGACTTCCATGCTCAGGTTTGCTTGTGAAAAATGGTAACTTTGGGTCAGCATGCACCATCCTCATCTAAAAGAGCACTAGGGCATGATGTGTGAAGCAGCCTCTGAGGTATTTTGGCAAGTGTGTTGTCTTCCTCACTGGTGCAGCATGTCCCACTGGGCTTTGCAACAAAGTCAGAATCAGCACTGTCGATTTTTCCTTTGTTTAGCAAAAGCTTTTTGCATCTTGCTATTGATGGCTGCTCCAAGATAAATCCATTCCCCTGTAAAGTTTTGTACTCAATAACTTTTCAAATATTCATGTAGATTAGAAAGTCAGTCATAAAACATTTTCAGGCAGGACTTTGTTTTAAATAATTAAACACGTGCAAATAAATAAAGCCTTCCTATACCATTTTAATATAACCCTCCTCCCAATTTTGGGTAGTGTACAACATGCTCAAGACTAAATGCAAATGTAAGAAATGAACATTGCACAGAGTGGATAACACAGCAGTGAGGCATATCCTGGCAAAAATAGTGATACAACCCCATCAAAAAGTTATTCGTGTTGACAAGCCATGAAATGTCTGCATAAGGAGAAAGGGAACAAAGCAGGAATGCTTTAATGCTGTGCCTCACTGGAGCTGCTTTTTCCTTCAGTGTTGTATAACTGTGACAGTTGTGTAAAAGGGAAAAGTCAAAAAAAAGAGAAAGCACTGGCAATGCTGGCAGGAATAGACATTTGTTTCTGTGGCAGTCAACAGCCAAACAGCAGCTCTGTGCTCTCTTGGCTGAAGGAACAGGCTTGTTGTGCTTTGTGTGGTCACCTTGATCTGTCCGCGGCAAAAGCCCGACCTCCTCTGGAAGACCCACATGAATAGCTTGTGGTTCAAGGCTCTCAGGCTGGGCACAAGAAAGCTGTGCAGCTGTTACCTGGGGGACATGCACAGACCTACAGCCCCCACCCCTGGGCACAGACTGCCCCGTCAAGAGAGACCCCTAAAAACTGGAGTCGGACAAGAAGTCCTGCGTTTTCTTGTCAATCCAGATATGAGCAGTGATTTCATACACTCACGCACGCAGATCTGGATTCAGAGGATGGTGCCCAGTAATATTATGAATGCCTTTTTCTGGATGGCAGTGATGACCCCTGGTGCCAGGGTATCCCTGTGACCACAGTGGCCTGGAGACCTCTCCACTCCTTCCATGTGTTGTCACTGGTGCAGTGACTGGTGCACCTACTTCCATGGCTCAAGCACTGAAAGTGCACCAACATCTAAAGTACTGGCTGCCCCTTTCGTGAAGACAAGTCTGGATATGAGGAAAAATCTTTGCCCCATGAGGGCAGTCAAGCAGTGGAAGAGGTTGCCCACAGTCTCTGTCTTTGGAGGATTTTGAGACACAACTGAAAAGCCCTAGGCTCCCTAGTCTGGCCTCAAGGAAAGGACTTCTCAAGGTTCCCTCCAACCTAAATTATCCTATTAAGTCTTTTTGAAGAAGGGTGGCACACACTGAATGATGACAGGCACTACATCTCCATAAACATGAGTTCTGAGATCTATCCACCACTTTGGAGAATGCACAGAAGTCCTGGTCCTGCAGCTTTCTCAAGCAACCAATCCCCCCTCCTTTGAACAGTGATTAGTCCATTAGAGGAGCAAATCTCCACCAAGAATGCAGAGGTTTAATGGTTTGAGGGAAGAGTGATAGAACTGACAGGGCTAACCCTCTCCTGTGGGACCTGATGGTTGGATGAGATAAGGAAAACAATTCCTCATTTTCAGTAAGAATTTCAATACTTTTGTATTATGTTTTGATGAGAATAACTCATTCCAGTATATTAAAAGCTCTTTCCCCCTTATCTCCTTCTGTGCCCTCCCCAGGGTGATGCCATGAGAGAGGTGGCTTTTTGGGGTATACCTGTGGGCATACTGCTGTGCTGCATGGAAACAGCCAAATTTGTATCCTGTCAAAGCTCATCTGAGCAGGGGACATAATAACTTCAATAATGTCACAATCTGGGCAAGCCCATACCACTGCCTACAGTGTAGTTGAGGTGGGCACACTGATTATGGCATTTGAAGGGTACTGGCTCATTTCCTACCACCTGTACCCAAATTTCAGCCCTTATGCAGCTGGGAGTTGTCCAGAGTTCATGTTATCCTGGGTCAAAAGTGTCAGATATTAATTATTTGGCCCAGCCTAAGCGGGTAACTCGATGGTGGGAGAGCATTCTGCGGGTCCCAAGGGGGACAGTGACTGAAAACCCATCAGGTACTCACAGGATGTATGCGATGACCCCGATGGACCAGCAGTCCACAGCTTTGCTGTAGGGTTTCTGGGCCAGCACTTCAGGAGCTGAAAAACAAAAAGCCAAGCAAGCACATGTTATAAGAACAAATATTTGAGTAGGGTCAAGAGGCAGGATGCTGAAGCTCCCCAAGACCTTGTTTTGCCCTCCACACACAGCGCTTGCATTTGTAAATGTCCTGAGGTCATTGTAAATGACCTTTTTGAAGGTCATATTCTTACAAAGAAGGATGGCTCCTAGAGTGGAGAAAATTCCCCATTTTTTGTCTCTAGGCACAGAAAACAAAACTAAGCCCAGAAAAATACGTGAGAGTCAGAGAGTCATCACCTCCCTGTTTGGGAGGAAAATGAGGTCAAGCCTTGCACGGGTGCAGAGATGCACATTCCCCCTGACAGCATCACAGCTTCACCACATCATGCTGCCAAACCAGAGAGTTCCAGAGGCAGCTCAGAAAGCGCAGCGTGTCAGGGAGCAGATAAACTACATCTGCAGGAGAGGAAAGAGAGCAGCCACCATTTCTTCCAGCAGCTGCCTTTCAAAGCCTGCAGGATGTCAGAGAAAGGAGGAGTAATTTGTCCTTCTGCCTCTGGGAACAGAGACACCTCAGAGGGAGAAAAGGAAAGCAGCAAAGGAACTGAGCCTTCTGCCTCTATAGTTTCAGCCACCATACTCTGAATTTTGCTAGAAACAAGAGCCTGGGTATTTATTGAAACTCTTTGTGGGTCTGCTTTCCTATCCTAGACTAGTGAGAGTTAAAAAGGTGTATTTTTGGGGGGATCCTGGAGTATTATGTTTTCCCTGTTGGGAGTTTGCAGTACAAATGCTTAAACCTAAATTTTAAAACCCTGTGACCCTAATCTGTTTCATGTAAAGAAGCTTTTGCTTTTTTTTTTTCCAAAGCAAAATGTCCACAATAATGCAAGAAATCACTGCTTGTGGCATTCCTAAAGCAGGCTTGCCACACTATGTTTTAAAAAGCACAGTATTTCCTCTGAGTAATTTGGAGTTCAAATGCTGGAAAAAAGTCATGAAGGGGTAAGTCCCAACAGAAACATTTCTTGGGGGTTACACCTTCCTCTCATAGGAGTCTTACCAATATCAAAGCAGTTAAACTACTTGAAAAACAGGAAAAAAAAATTGGGAACCACATATAAGTGTTAAAACTTGAGCCTCACATTTAGTTGCTACCTATGCTCTGGTGTACTGATAGGACTCTTCAAAGACTTTTAGTTTCTTAAGTTAAGGAAGCCAACAAAACTAAGGTCAAAACTGCCAGCAAGAAAGAGAACAGGAGCAATAATGAGAAACAGAAGAGACTTTCTGGTGCTTTGGCATGAGAGCTTACAGAAGGGATTGGAGGAAGAAAGTGCATGAGGCAGATAAGAGCTTCCAGGTTGCATTTCCACAAGCAGAAAAATGATAGAAAGAGTCAAATTCCAGTGGGGACACATTGTAAAAAGGAAGAAAATCCAGGGGAATGTGGATACAAAAATATAGCTGGCAGCCAGATTATGAAGAGTCTTGAAGATTTGGATATGCCGGATATGCCCCAATCTGCAGCAGAGGTTAAATATTGCCCCAATCTTCAGGTTATCCAGCAAAGTGGGATCACTGCATGTACAAGGAATTAGAAGGATGGTTCTGTTCATACATTGCTAATCCTAATACACTGCTGTCCTGTGTGAATACTCCAACATTTATCCACCACAGGCCAAAGAAAGTTTCTTTCCACTGTACCGTCTATGAATGGTCCCAAACTCGGCTCCAGGTGCTTGGTAGAAACCTGCACCCCAAATCCTGAGCAGCCTCAGGAACCTCCTTCCAGGACATGGGCATGCTGCTGCAGTTCAACATAAAGGTGAAAATGCTCTTACTACAATAGGGGACAAAGCTATGGAAATACAGATGACCTCTACAGTTGATGCCCAGAACGTAACTCCTCTCCCAACAGCTGGGTCAGGGTCTGTCTGTTGGCTGGGTGCTAGTTAGTCCATCAGAGGGGAATTTGAAGGCAAGCTCAGGATAAAAAAATAAAGCACTGGCCTGCCACTGCCTCACAGATAACCTGGCAAGCTGGGACACTCTGGAAATGTTCATTTCCCGTGTATGAAACAGTCGTTCCCCAAAGTTGCTCAAGACAACTTTCCCAGAAAATCCTTGTGTCCCTTAATCTGGCTCTTTCCTTTGTGATTCATCAAAATTTGCCTCCAAGTTTTCCTCTAAAAATAACATGTTTTTCAAAATGTGCATCAAATAGGGTTTGGGAGACTTGGTTTCCTGTTTTGTTCCATCCCTTGTGACTGAATTTTGTGACAAAATATGAGGAAGAAGGGAGTTAATTTTCCCCTGTCCTTAGATTAGATGTCTTCCAACTTTCCAGTCCTTCCAAATTCCCAATACTTTATTCACATACCTCTCCTACCTTTGACTCTCTGCTCCTGTTTACACAATTTTCAGGACTGGTAAACACTATACATCTCCTAATTCCAAAAGAAAATATTATGCAAATGGCTTCTAAGCACCAGGGATCCTAGTGAGCTCCTGACATTATACAGATATGCCACATTAACACAACAAAAAACAAATGTGAGATGAGGGGATATGAACTATATAAAGATTCTCCCCCTTAAAACATCAAAGCTTTGTTGAGGCATTTCTGTTTTAAAGGAGTGAAGAGCACCGATAACAGTTGCTGCTCTGGATGGTGGCTGTGAAGCAGGTAAGAACATCATTTGCTCGGAGCAAATGTGAGGCTATTTACTCCCCTTTGGTAAACCCTAATGAAGAGAGGTTTAAATACTTATTTTAAGGCCAAATGGCTGGTTTTGGTTTTTGTTCCAATGAGCAGACATGCAACAGGAACAGGAGAACATAGCTCAGCATCATCTGTCTGTGATACATGGAAAAGACGGAAATATTTAATGAGCTGAAAAACAAAGTCAGAGGAGCTCTTAGGAGTGATGGTAGATCAGTGCCAAGAGGCAAAAGCAAGAGATACAATGAAAAAAATCCAAGATCTGACAGCATTAAAGGATCAGCACAGACAGCTGAGGAGACAAAACAGCAGTGAGGATAAGGGGAAAGTCAAACCTCCCATTTCTGTCGCTGGGGAGACGCCAGCTGAGCACAGGTTTCCAGTATCACACATTCCCTAGGGAATCACTGAGGGCTCAAATGCTAAACAACAGTCACCCAGAAACAGGAAAATCAATGAAGCTAACCTGGACCCTTCCTCCACATCCAGGAACTGTATTTCAGGCCGAATCACCATTATTACCAGCAACACGTGCCAGGTACCAGGTAGGATAATGGTCCCAGGGCCTCATGAAGATGTGCTCCCCAGGCCAGATGATCTGCTGTTTTACTATTAGGGTTTTTTTCGGTTTTGTTTAGCTATGTTTTGCTTTTAATAAGAGAAAAAATTAAAATACTTGTTTCAAATGGAGGTTTTAAGAAAAGGTACAGACCAGGAACATTTTGAATCCTTTCAGAACACTATGCCATTACCCTCAGAGAGCACAGCTATGCTAATAAGCTCCCTAAAAATGCAGCTGCCTGGATACCAAAACCAGCAACCCATGTTCTTGCAAAGAGCTCAAGTGATGGGGATTGCTCTGATACTTTAAGCCTGTTGATCACACTGTACAAGTCATGAGAGTGCCTGTTCTTCAAAACAGCATCTACTTAAAAGTGGTTCTCCTTCACTCCCATGATATGGTACTCCCAGCAGATTTGGCTGTCCCATAAGAACTGTCTAATGCTATTTTCTGTGGTTTACATGGCTCCCCACACATTGTATGCCGGAAGGAAGAAGGCCTTTGAACAAAGGTTTATGCCCTTGAAGTTCCCTGTAGGAGTGACAACTCACTTGTAAATGTGGGAGGAATTGAAAGATCTAAATAGGGTTAAAATAACCAGAGACCTGCCCATCTGACCAGGCAAACAGGCCTGGTGCAAGCCAGGACTAATAGTTCAGCTGGTAACTATTTTAGTGCCAGTGTCCATCATGTGAGCACATCCTGCAAGTAAAAAAGAGGAAACAATGAATGGGCTGCACAGGTACAGGATGGCCATGAAATCCAAGAGGGAAGGTGAGATATAGTCAAAGTTTATAAGGGACACCAAAGGGAGATGGAACCAGCCCCATGACTTAGGACTTCTGAAGTACCAGCTCAAGAAGATGGACAACTCAGTATCACTGAGAAGATGGTTGGAGGCACAAAGGGCCAACCCAGCCCCTCTTCTGAAGTCAGGGTACAAGAGCACTGTGAGTTCCTCTGCTGTCCTACAAAGTGTCCTCCTCACAGTGCAAACAGGCTGAGATGCATTTACTACAAAACCAGTGTCCTCCTTCCACTGATTCTTGGGATGAAAACAACTCCTGTCCATTTTTCACACAGCCCTCCAGTGTTCATTGTGTTCCGTTTGGCCGAGACATTGAAGTTTGAAGCTCTTTCTGAAGGAGATCAGGGTTTCAGTGCGGTATTGCTGACTTCTTGTGCTCCTGTTCTCCCTATTTCATGTTGCTGAGTCAGATTTAGGTATTTGTCATGGGACATAACTCAGCTACAACCACACACAAGCAAACACAGTGTCAGGATATGGCAATGTAGCTGAGAGATCACACTGTCACGTGCTTATGCCTAAGCAAACCCTGGTCAGAGTGGTTCCCATGCTTTATTTTTACTTTATTACTCATGTTACTCCCTGAACAGCTCCTTAGGTAACTTTCTGGTAATAAGGATATCCCAAAGGCTTATTGAGTGTTTTCAAACCTTCGACACAAAGGATACCAAAGAGGTCAAAATTCAACATGGAAATCCATTGCTTACTTAAACGCTGTGGTCTTGAGCAGGGCTAAGAGAAACATGTGGCTTTGGTAGGATCTGAAACTGCTACTGCATTTCTGGCAGAGCTGAAAGATGTGAAATGACCTTTCATAAAAGCACTACAGAAAATGAAAACAGTGAGTGAGGTGGGGTGTACAGGGACCAACCACATATCCAGGGTCCAGCCCAATTTGTACGATGGGGAAGTACGAGAAAATATTACATGAAGCTGGATTGGGACTCAGTGCAAGAATTTTAAATCTCAGTAGGATTAAGATATTAGCCAGCCACAAACACAGCTCGTAATTCAGACTTTCTGCAAAAGGAGATCAGATTGCCTCAGACAGGCTTTCTAACTTTTTTTTTTTTTAATTTTCAATGCTCCTAAGTGTTTAAGTCCCATCTGCAGAAGTAACCAAAGCTTTTGGGGGACCAGGTCTCATGGAAAGTCACTCAGTGAGACCTAATTCCCAAACAACCAACATGTCTTCAGAGGAATTTGCTGAGTGACTGGAGTCACCTCCTGGTGTATGCCCAACTTGACACACCTGAGGGACGTCTCATTTTCAGGCAGGCTTGAAAAGCTCCTCCATTAAAATTGAGTTATTATATATGGTTTCCAGCTGACCAACCCAAATCTATCATGTTTAAAATGATAAATCACTAATGGCTTATTGAGATCTTGCCCATAATCACACACATCACTCAGGGTTTTGAAAACATCACTTATTCTCCAGTTTAGATGATGGGGTGGGATCCAGGTAGGCCAGTCCACACACCTAATTTACAATGAAATGAGCCACACAAGCCACATCATCGTACCCAATTTACGTGCTGTCTAAAAGCTGGGTGCCTAGTCCCAGCTCATCACCCAGACTCTTTCCATAAAAAATGGGGACAAGAGTGGTAAGCAGATAAGAAAATGGAAGACCTTCTTAGAAGAAGTTGTATTCTCAGATCCCCTTTGCAGTAAGCAAACATTTAGATTGGCCTCTTAACACAAGTGGCTCAACTAATTAGGTTAAATTATACTAACTATCAGCATTTAACCACAGGACTAAATTCTCTGACAAAACTTCTGAAAAACTAAGATCTTGGAACTGTTGACAGTAATTTAATCTGTAGCTTTAAAAGCTCAAGTGCTAATGCATTACTGCTCGTGCACATTTTGATTAGTAATACTTCGATTTTCAGTAAGAAAACTGATATTTGTTAAAGAATTTAATTATAATTACATCTTTCCCTGTTCAATGAACTTCCGAACCTCATAAACAGGGATTCAGTGTCTCGGATATTACTGCTCTTTGTAAATAAAACTAATAAAACTTGAGATAAAAACTGAAACACAAGGAGTTGAAAGTATATCCTAATCAGGGAAATAAGACAGAAAGGACAGGAGTTTGCACACTTGCAAAGACTTGGGTAGCAGACATGAGTTAAGATCAGGTCTGCTTCCGAGTCAGAAGCTTGTCTGACACTTTGTATAGTGGGATCTGATGGATCCGTTTCTGGAGATGAAGTATAAACAGGAGTATAAATAGCAGTGGATGCTAATGACTTTTTGACAGAGCTCAGGGTGCCTTTGACATGTGATATGAAAGTAATTTAAAAGCAAAGTGGTTAAACTGAGAAAAATAATCAATTGCTAATCAAAATCTTAAAAAATGGCGCGCTCTACATATAATTAAAGAAAATCATCAGGAAATGCAACGTGAGTGATGGATCCCTAACTGTTATTCAACCCTAGGTAAAATATCTGGGGAAAAAAAAAATCACAAAACACAAAAAGAGGTGGTAGATAGGACACTTCATGGGCCAGGACGGTGTCATTTGTCTACCCCAACCCAGCTGAAGACATGTATTCGTGTTGTGCCATTAGGAGGAATGACTCTTACAGTGATTTGAGGGTACTAGGCTGGTGATGTAAATTGGAAGGCGGGAAAACTTTTGCATGTGGACAAATTGGTAACCACATATGCAGGAGCCATGTCTTCAGGTGTGACGCTCATGGAGGCCCATTCGTGGGCATCACCACAGTGACTGGCAACAAAAATGTTTTGTGTTTGGAAAATGTTGTCTGATCAACCCATCACGTTAAAAAAAAATGTACAGCACTTAAGAGGAGCTGCTTCCTGTGCAGGAAAAAAAAAAAAAAAAACACAAACACATATTTGGAGATGTTTGCTTTGTGAAAGAGGGGGGAAAGTCCTGTCAGCACTTCAGAATTAAGCAGTTGGGACCTCTTGAACTGTGATGAGTAAATCCTGTGTTCAGTAAGGTAACAACAGGCCTGGAGGCACTTGTGTAGCTATCAGCGCCCAGACCATGAGTAATGAGAGCTCTCAAACATCTCTCAAAGCACTACAGTTTGTGTCACAGGCTCTGAGAGCTTCCTCTACAAAATTGTAAGTTTTCTTATGTAAATGGCTACTGCTGAGAGGCCATGTGAGATCACTCTGCCCAAGCACAGTCAAACTCCCTCACTTCCATCAGCACTTCAGCAAATTACGTCTGAGCTTCTCTGTGTCTAAAGACTTATTCTAGTCAGTGCCCATTCCAGAACAAAATAAAACAAGTTTGTTAAGGAGAGAAGAGCTGACAGCAAAAATTATGAAAATTGCTATCTCAGCTCAATTCCTGCTACTGCTTTGAAGAAGATTTCCAGTCTGGTGTGATTACACAAGACAGCTACCCAGGCTGCGCGGAGAGCATCCTGACTCATATGTCTTAAAATAAAACAATGATGGGCTGATGGCTTCAAGATGGGAAAGCACAGAAATCTGTTCCTTCTCCTGATGTTATCGGGATAGACGGTGTCTGTGCAGCGCGAAGATAATACCCGGAAAAAGGTACCTGGGACAAATCTGTATCACTGTGTCATAACGGCATCATCTCATACCGTGGTACTATCAGAACTATGGAAACAGGTGAGGTGGCAGCTGCTAAGCAAAAGGAGTCTCTCACTGATGGAAAACATCCAGTCATTCCCACTGGAAAATCTCAGGCAAATCTATCCCTGTGGTAGCCGTTTTCACTTTCATGGATTTCATGGATACCCCAGAGATTAATTTTGCAGCCTCTGCTGATGATCTGTGTGTGGTGGGAGGCACAGACTTGCTGGATGTCTCGTGCACAAAGTGAGCCTTTTAAATATTGTTTGCTCAAGCAGACCCCATCATCACCTGCTGTGTAATTCTCACATTCAGCTACTGTAGCTGTTTTTAAAGAATGCTGGCCAACTCCCTGCTTATCAGTAGCCTTGTACAGTCACTAACAAATGGACAGAATAGCAAAGAATAAATGATAGCAAACAATTTTATTCTGTCCAGGAAGGCTTGAGGATCTAAAGAGTTTTTGCATAGCGACATCTGAGCCAGTGACTTAACGTGGTTGTAAGGGAGGATTACTGAATGCATCTGAATAAATGCAGATCTTTCATTTTACTGTCTTCTATCAGAGGAATCTGGAAAATGCTATCCTTTATGATTAAAGGAATACATTACATTAGGAAAGGTTTTTTTATTTTATAGGTGCTCGCAGAATCAATAAATTTGAGGCTGTTCTCTACGTGCTCCTGATTTAGCTACAAGCAGTGTCTTTGAGAAGGTTCACTTTGCAAAGGATTAAACACATGAAAGCGAATCCCACCAACCCAGAGCTGGATTGCAGGATCGCAACCCAAAGGGGATGAACACACAAGACAAAGCACCAGCAAGTTCTGAAGTATAGCAAAAATCTGTAAAATCTCAGGTGCACCACGGAGCAGCACTAGAAAACAAGTATTATTTAGTTTTCACTAAAATATAACCAAACCTCTTACCGACATAGCCAGGAGTTCCACAGGCTGTGGACATCACATCTCCTTTACCCTCCATCTTTGACAATCCAAAGTCACTGATCATGATTTTTGACTCTTCATCCTGGCTGTAGTAAAGCAGGTTCTCGGGCTAGAAAGGAGAATAAGCACAATGAATTTTGAATATGTAGGGTCAGTAACAACCTCTGTTGACTCGTGCATCGCATTTAATGCAATCCTTAGCTATGTCATAGACAAAAATAATTTGTTCCCCCTAAATCTGAAGTTGTTCTTACAACCTGCATGGAGATCCTCTCCTGTATGGCAATGAATGGAAGACACTGACACCCTGAGCTTTGAATAATTTTTCTGGGATAACAAACTTCTCCTTTGGCAGCTCAGATAAGAACTAAGGCTCATCCCTTACTTGTGAGATGTGTCTGACATATGATCGCATAGGAGTGATAAAAACAGAAGGATTCATTTGAAATCAAGTAAATATGGTAAATCCGGGTTGTGTCGTGAAATTTTTTTATACAGCATTTGAAAAAAAGATGTAAGGAAACCAGTAGGTATTAGAGAAATTTTGTATCTTTTCCACTGGAAACAAACAGTTTTGAGAGAGGAAATGCCTTTACAGTTAACAGGCTTTCAGCAAGGATGTTTTTGCTAGAGCTGATTAGGAAAAAATGCTATAGCACTAAGCACAGCAACTTGTTTATGCTGAGGGAAAGCACAAATCATTCCACAAAGCCCTGTGACTTTTTATACCAGTGTCAGGTGGGTTGGAGAACCCAACCAGCCTCCATCTGCTCCTGCATAGTCCTGCATCCATGTGCTCTGACTGTGCCACTGCTGTACAGCAGAACTCTTTCTAGGTGCTGTGAGAGTCCACTTTTCCCCTACTTAATATCTGGGCTCACAAAAAGGTCCAGCACCTGCTGGCACTCAGACAGCCTGGTGGCAACAGGCCCTCGACCTTGGGAGTCTTCACCTATACAAGTGATGGGTCCCCAGTGTTTCAAAATAACCTTGGTGTAGCCTTTTGCCCAGAAACTGGTACAAATTCCAACCCTCAGCCTGCTGTGTGCTCCAGGAAATGGTGAGAAGCAGCTGTGGACACACAGCATCCTCAGACTCCTTGGGAAACATCCAAGCTTGGATTTGCAAGGAGGAGCAACTGCAGTACAGCAGCACCAGCATCTGCCCTCCCCTCTTCATCTGCTCTGGGGAAAGAGGGGATGGAGAAGTGCCAGAGGGTTCCCCTTCAACTTCAAGGGGAAATTAAAGCATTTTATGGTTCCCCAGTCCCAGCTTAAAGTGCTGGCTTTATCCATGGGACACAACGGCCACGAGAGGATCTACAAGGTACATCCACAGCTGTGAGGCAGCTGGGCTGAGATATAAAGGGAAACAATTTGGTCGTCAAAATAAACATGAAGTTTTACCATTTATGCTTCTTTCTCATGACAACTCGCAAGTCCAGTGCTTTAACTGGCCATTGCAATGCTGACACTGTTTTGAGGATCACAGTTTTATACCATGTTCTGCCCTTGGTTGGAGTCACCCCTGATTCTTACTTGTGCACTTCTAATCTGCTGAGGGGTTGGTAGAGCTGGCACTAAGGGAAGATATTTATTTCCTAACAATTTTTGCTAACTCACCTCAGGTTCCCACTTACTCATATTTAGTAAGGCCAAGAAACCCAGCCACATGAAACTTAAACTTGTTTAAAAGAATTCTGGTTCTTCAAGATGGTTAATTCAAAAAGCATTAACAAGGTGGATCTGTACCAAGGGAAGCTGCTTGAGCCTTCCAGTCCTTTTGTGCATCCCAGACTTCCCAGGATGTCATCTGCTGCCATCTCTTCTGCTGTTGCATTACTTAGATTAGAGACTTAGGGCCCAGACCTGCTTTTCCCAAATACAGCAAGTACTATTTTGGTATCTGAATAACATATAATTACAATAAATAATTGTTATGGATGTCTCATGGGTTGTATTATTGTAGAGTGGATTCTTTCCCCAAGTTTCATTTTGGGGATCATAATTTGAAACTTACACTTGGTATTTTGAGATCATAAAAAGCCTTACTGTATCCCTCTTTTTCTCATCATGGTATGTTTGTGCTAACAGAAATTCACAGCAGGTGCTCTTCATATACTGTAATTTCTGAGTCATTTTAACAACTGATACAGTACTGACAAAGACTTGTAAACAAAAGAAAGAAAGACTAGAAGAGCTTGTCTTTACCCCCAAACACCACTGGAGAAGGTTGGTTTGATCTAAATTGAGCATGGCCTTACGTAAGTTCTGAAAGTAATTTGTACATGAATCCACTTCCCAATCACCAGATCTCATATTTTACTACAGGAACTTTAAAATAAGATGATTTTTTAAAAGTGAGAGCTGCAACCTGCTTTAGATTATAAACACAAGAATTGTAAAGACAGGAATATTAAGAGTTTGTACAATGGAGTATCTGAATTAGGAGGACTTGGACATCCCTCTGAAACTTTTGGTGGCAGAAAGAAACCTGAAGTTATTTCCTAAAAACTGAACTTGGGAGCAAGCTACTCATGTTAAAATACTAAACAATACTTCCATACTGGAATGCTGTGGAAATCTAATAAATATGAGAATATTTCTATGTACAAAACAGCAGGAAATAAACAGGAACTGAGGGCAATATGTGAAGACTGTAGGAGATGGAAGCCTAACCAGTGCCTCCTTACAGAAAACCCATTATCTGGGACAACACCGGGGAGGAAACACTATTTGAGGATATCAGTGTGTATCTTCCTTCAGTAGATTCCAAGTTTTGTCTTAAAAATGTGCCAAACCAATACTTAAAAAAAAAAAAAGTTTCTACTTTCTATTATTCTACTCTATCTGTTGAAGTGAACGTCATAGGATGCTCACTTCTGGCAGAGGGGTACAGGACTGAGGTATTTCCCTTGCAGAAATAAGGTGCAGAAAAGCTTGCAATCCTCCAGGAATGGCCCACACACAGCTAAAAGATTCCCATCTGGAGTCAGAGGCTGGCAGAAGGAAGTGGCTGCACTGAGGCTGCCACAAAGGAAGGCCATGTCTGCCTGTCTTGGGCACTGCTGCACCTTGGAGAGCACCAGTGCTGGTGGTTACACCAGTAATGAGCTGCAGTTCTGCCCCACTGCTTTGCATTTGGGGACTGTCATCTATTATTTTACACCACACAGCATTTCACATCAGCACTAATTTTGGAGAAGATAAAAAGCAAATAAACAGTATCTCTCACAACCACAGTTTTTCATCCATCTGAATGTGTAACAACAAGGTCACATTCCCAGCACTACAACCTTTGCTAAGAGGAGTAGTCAAAGATTGCAAAAGTGCAGTTTAATATTAGATTATATTAAAAAAAGTAATTTTAAAATACATTTAATAAAACCTTGTATTTAAGAAGTAAAAAAAGAAGAAAAAATCTCTTCTTTGTGGCTCTTGGTTCTAATAATTTTTATTAAGCCTTTATATAATATGACCCATTTAGTCAAATTCCACTCTCTTTACAGGGGGAAAATTCAAACTCTGCATCAACATCCAAGGAAACTCCTGTTTGGAGCATCCCTCCAAAGCACCACTAGAGGTGTTATTCTAATCAATGAATTTTTAATTCCTGGCAGTAGATTTTGGTAGAATTAACCAGCTCAGGAACTGAACCCACTGTTTTCTTTTTACATTTGTATCTTTTTCTAACATCTTATGCTTTTTTATTATTAAAGATACTAAAGATGGGGCTGTTCAGCTGCGTGCTAGGAAATCCAAGCCTTTCTGTTTGTCTTAATGACAGCATAAGATACCAGTAGGAAACAATAAAGAAACAGTGTTTAGGGTTTATTTTCACCAGAAAAGCTGAGAGGTTTTGATGTGACAATATGGTATAACTGAAAGGAAAATGCCTAATGTTTAATGTCTAAATATCACATTGTCACACAATGGTCCTTAGAAGAATTCTTGCTGTTAAGAGTGTCTCCAAAATACCATGACAGGAAGTCACTCACACTTTCCCACACTATTTATTGTTACTAATTATTATTAAGTCAAAGTAAACGTAGCACAGCAAACCTGCAAGACACTTCACAGCAGTAAACACATCCCAACTGAGATGAGTTTTCTGCCTTAATGTAACAATTCTGGTCTTATTAACTAATGGCTCTTCCCCACATCACGTGGGCCATTCCCACTGTAACAAGCGATTGCAAAGCCCTCATTAAAATTTCGTGGAGTGGCTTCGGAGCATCTCTCCTGTGGCAAAACCTCACTGAAACAGCCAGTCCCAGGGTACACGTGTCGGACTCACATAATTATGAAATGAATCCTTTGTTAACACTGCCCAGGGACTGAGAGGTGCTGTGGCCGTACCTTGAGGTCCCTGTGCACGATGCCCATGCGGTGCAGGTAGTACACAGCGTCCAGGACCTGCCGGATCAGGGTGCTGGCATCCTTCTCCGTGTAGAAGCCTTTCTCGACGATGCGGTCAAACAGCTCTCCCCCCGACACTCTGGAAAACACGACGGGAAGCACAGGTGTGAGGATGTGCTTTGTAACGCCCTTTCTTCCTCACTAAGGGATGGTCAAGGCCACGCAGCAGCCGCAGGCAGGCAGAGCACACGTCTGTTTGCAGCCCTGGGGGCTCCCCCGCTGTGTCCCAAGGAGGGCCATGAGGATGGTGAAGGGTCTGGAGGGGAAGCTGCATGAGGAGCGACTGAGGTCACTCGGTTTGTTAAACCTGGAGAAGAGGAGACTAAGGGGAAACCTCATCACAGTCTTCAGCATCCTCATGATGGGAAGCAGAGGGGCAAATACTGATCTCTTCGCTCTCGTGACAGTGACAGGACTCAAGGAAACAGCATGAAGCTTAGTCAGGGGAGGTTTAAATTAGACATCCATAAAAAGTTTTTCACCCAGAAGGTGTTTGAGCACTGGAACAGACTCCCCAGGGAAGTGGTCACAGCACCAAGCCTGTCTGAGTTCAAGAAGCATTTGGACAATGCTCTCAGGCACACGGTGTGACTCTTGGGGTGTCCTGCAGAGGGTCAGGAGTTGGACTCAATGACCCTTATGGGTCCCTTTCAACTCAACTGTATTTTATGATTCTATGATTTGGGTTTGATTTTCTTATAGTCCAAGGACTGATCAGGCTATGACGGAGAATAAAATCCATCACACATCAGGGAGAGATCAATCTATCACAATCAGGTATTGATTCCCTCACTAGCACTTGCAGAGGGAATCACAACCCTACCCCAGCAAGAGCCAGGGGAGCAGACACTGGTTTCCAGGCTGTCCCACCCTAGTGAACTTTGCATAGGTGAACTTGCTCTGCTGCTGACCCACTCAGGCCCACTGAGGCTCTAAGGCTCCCTCCTCGTATGATCCCTTGGGGTTCACTTCTCACTCCACTGACCAAGGCTTGGGTTTTGCCCTGGAGAAATGGTCCCATTCTCCTTTCTACTGCTAAGTGAAACACGTTCAGGAGTTGCTGCCAGTACTTATAGAACATTAGTTTATCAAAGCAGCCTGCATCTCTGACAATTCCAAATGCTCTCGGAGGTCCCCTCACTTACTCATCCACGTATTTCCATCTATCAGCAGCCAAAAACTCTTTAGGCAGAGCACGGACCCTGCCTGGCACTGGTAGAAGACAGTTATTGATGAGTAGTGCAGGTTATCAGTGCAATTGATCAACGGATGACACAAATGAGGAAAGGATTCCACAACTCAAAGAGGAAAGAAAATAAAACTTTGACATCTCACTATTTAATGTCTGCTATATTACACTTTTTCTCTGCCTTGCTAGAAATAACACGTTCTGAACCCAATCTTAAATAAAGAATGGACACATTAAAACTCCCTGGAGGAGTATCTGGGGAAACAAAAGAGGAAAGAAATGTCTGAGTAATTGAAATAATAAAACTGTCAGCAAAAAACTGTCCTACTAGGGTAAATAAAAGATTTCCATTTTAACAAGCAAAACCTATTAAAAAATAAAATGTATGCGATATGTTTCTTCAGCAAGCTGCACCACTTAGCATATCATAAATAGCACAGTAAAACTTTCTTTAAAAACAAACCTAATAAAGGGAAAATAACAAATGATTACAGTCATTAAATACATATGGACTGGGAGCTTGCCATTACACGAACACTAGGTAATTCAGCCACTCCAGGCAATAATCTGCTTGAATAATGCCATGAAGTCACTTCCTAGGGAAGTTTGGAACCTGAATGAGAGAGAATGCTACCACTAAAAATGAACACATTCAACTTAGAAAATTAAAAGGAACCTTGGAAGGAAAAAAAAGAAAAGAAACCAGATAATCCTCCTATTAAGTGCTAGGCAAACAAACCAAATAGCTTGCTAAAATATTGGCACTGAATTGAAACTGCAGGAAAGGTGAAGCTCACCCAGCATGTGAAGTCCACCAGCAGCCTGAATTAAATCCCTTTCTTTTCTAGTTTCTCACAACAGGAACTGCATTTCTCACCCATACATACATGTACATACATACATACATATATATAGACATACATACATACATATACATATATACATATACACACACATATATATGTATACACAGAGTGTTGCTCCAAATCCCTGCCTGACCCATCGTGTGCTTTGCCAAGGGACAACAGAGACACCTCACCCTCGCCATTCACTGAAGGCAGATACAATTTTATTGAATCTGGCTCCTATTAGCTGACTGTCTTTTTATATTTCCCCTGCAGTCCTTTTATTTTTTTTTTTCTCCTGTGGATTGATTGCACTGAAAATTGAGCCCACACAGTAATTAATATGACTGAATACAGCACATTTCCCCCATGAAAATGCAGTGCATGCTGTTTTGCAGTTTCATACAGTTACTTTTCTTATATTCAAGCCATGGACTGCTTTAGTAGATACTGATTTACATCACTTGCTCTCCTGAACAAGGAAACTCTCCTTCGATCTTTACAGAGAGTATACTTCCAAAAAACTTTTTCATTAAATCGAGGGAATTTCCCTCCATGCCAGCTCACTTCCCATCCCCCTTAAGCCTCATTCTTTAATTGAAAGCTTTTCTTAGTCAGATTTAGTCCAGTGGATCTACTGTACCCAGGCTCAATCTGTTTATAATTTTATTTCAGCACACGGAAAATATTTGCAACCTCTTAAATGATGCACTGTAAAGCAGAGCTGAATCCAAGCACTCAAGAGGAACAGCCAGTATATCTGCAGCCACTTGCTTATTCAGAGTGTCGACAGCATCCCAGGTGTATGCAGAGAGTCAAGGGACTTGTGCTCCTATTTATTGGTGTGGTGACTCAGTGTTATGGTACAGGGGATTCGCATTACATGTTTGCACTCATCTATAGTGTCTCCCTGCTGTGGGCAAGATTCCTGGCTGAGGTTCACCTCCCCAGGATGCTCTTCAACTCCGCACCCAAGGCCATGGCTACTTTCCATATGGAGCTTATGTCCATATGGCTTTTCTCCTCCAAAACAGGGTTAACTCAACCGTAATGTCATTGGGAATGCTGCTACGGTGCCCAAGGAAGGACTGACATAAGTCAACGCTGTTGCAGAAGCAGACCAGCAAAGGCAGCTATGGGAGAGTGTCTGAGTTCTAAACTCACAATGGAGATATGGCCTGTTTGCTGATCTCGATCCCAACCTCCTCTACCCTACTGAAATGGGACTTGGCATCTGCACTGAACAGACATGGGCACTCACAAAGCACTGCTGCCATTTGTTTGTTCCGGCCTTTAATATTCTGGGACAACCTATTTTCTTTTTAATGGCAGCACCAGTTTTGCCCTTTCTATGGCAATCCTGAGGCACAGTTGAAACTGCAGGCAGTAAGAGCAGAATGGGGTCTTTGTCTTAAAGAAATTTAAGACAAAATTTTCTGTCCAGAAGGAGAAGTTAGGAGGGATTTCTCATTAGTGGAAGAGGACTGCTCCTGTCTTGCAGCTGGCTCTGGCTCATGGAGCTGGACTCACAAACAATAGCAAAAGTAAGCTTTTTCCCCTGCTGATTTCCATCTTGATTCCCCACAAAGAAAAAGTCAAAGGAAGACTAGCCAAGTTCAGTTATCTGAAAAGCATTTAACCCTGGAGCAGCTCAAGTGTCATGCTGTGATCCAGAGCAGCATTAGCTCTGCCCAGGGACTCAGTGCTGGCCAAAACTCAGCAAAGTGGCCACAACTGCATCTTCTGTACAGATGCCTGCTGGGACTGCCTGTATGGAGCCTGTGTAGTTCCATCCCTTTGTCCTTGCTCAGTGGGTCTCCCCTGCTCATCAAGCATCATGGACAGAGCCCAGCACTTGGAGAAGGAGCTCAGCTGGGAGTTCACATCACACGTGGACACCCCAGCATATGCCCCTGCCTGGCTGCAGCAATACAGGACATAATTTCAAAACAGAGACCAGAAGATTCATTTAGTTTAGAATGAAAAAAATTCCCAAACCCAGCTATGAGTACTTTTCACTTCTTACCTGAGGCTACACGCCTTTACTACATATCATCATCTATCCACATGAGGAAAGCCAGAATGAGTATTATTTCCATTTTTTTCACTGAAGAAAAGAGACAGAAACTTTCAGACTTGATCCTTTCAAACAGCCAGGACATACAATAAAGTCCTCCTCCATGAGCCCTTACCCCACTAGCAATGTCAGAATAGTTTATTTTGGAAAAGACCTTTAAGATCGAGTCCAATCACTTACCAAGCACTGCCAAGCCCACCATTTAACCATGTCCCCAGGTGCCACATCTACATATCTTTTCAATACCTCCAGGAATGGTAACTCTGCTACTGCCCTGGGCAGCCTGTTCCAGGCCTTAACAACTCTTCTGGTGAAAAAAGTTTTCCTAATATCCAGTTTAAACCTCCCCTGGCACAATTTGAGGCCACTTCCTCTTGTCCTATTGCTTTTTACTTGGAACAAGAGACCGACCCTTACCTCACTATAACCTCCTGTCAGGGAGTTGTAGAGAGCAATGAAGTTCTCCTTGAGCCTCCTTTTCTCCAGGCTGAATGCTCCCAGCTCCCTCAGCTGCTCCTCATCAGGTTTGTGCTCCAGACCATTCCCCAGATCTTCTCTGGACGCACTCCAGCATCCCAATGTGTGTCTTGTAGTGAGGGGCCAAAACTGACCCCAGGATTCGAGGTGTGTCCCCCAGTGCTGGGCACAGAGGGACAATCATTGTCCTGGTCCTGCTGGACACACTATTGCTGATACAAGCAAAATGCGCTGCCACCAGCACCCAGTCTGAAGAGGGGCAGTAGGACACAACCTGACCAGATGACAAAAGAGACATTATCTGCAATTCTGACAGGGAAACACAGATTGCACTCTGTTTCCAGGGTTTTCTGAGATAAAAGCTTACAGATCTAATGTTTCCTGAAGGATAATTCATGTATTGATTACACAGAATCTCTCAAAGGATCTAGCCTGGTGCTGGTGTTTGCAATAAATTCCCACAGCTCTCTAATCTGGGGGTAGCTATAGAA